TGTGAAAACCTTGTGAAGACTTACAGAAAACGTTTGACCTGTGTCATTGCCAACAAAGGGTATATAACAAAGTATTGAGAAACTTTTGTTATTGACCAAATACTTATTTTCCACCATAATTTGCAAATAAATTCATAAAAAATCCTACAATGTGATTTTCTGGATTTTTTTTCCTCATTTTGTCTGTCATGGTGGACGTGTACCTATGATGAAAATTACAGGCCTCTCTCATCTTTTTAAGTGGGAGAACTTGCACAATTGGTGGCTGACTAAATACTTTTTTCCCCCCCACTGTATATCATAGTTTGTCTTCACTATTATTCTACAATGTAGAAAATGTAAAAATAAAGAAACCCTTGAATGAGGTGGTGTCCAAACTTCTGACTGGTACTAATAAATATATATATATATATATATATATACACACACACACATATACATACACACACACTGTAGAATGGAATTAGCAGATCTTGAGATGGCGACTCAGTCAGGAGGGGAGAAGTCCTGAGCTTCAAACCTTCTCTCCATAGCAAAACTAGCTTAGCTCATCTCGCTGTCAATAAGTTACTCACTAGTGCCCTTGTTTGTTGTGATTGAATGGCAAAAAGACACACCCAAGAAACACCCACATTAAACCACACCCCAAAGACAACTCTCGTTTGGCTTTCAGTAACAGCCTTTGCATTTCTTATTAAATGAGCACCGGAAGAAACACATGCAGAATCGGTGAGTGCAGTTCACCTTTAATCTTGGAATGCATGACAAGGAAATCTTTAAAGAGGGATGAAGGTAACATTTAAAAAAAGGTGCAATATGCAGAAATCTCAATTTCCTGGTTGCAAAAATTCTAATAGTTTGCCTAATTTCAGTGTGACAAAACAAGCAATGTATAGTGTAGAGAATCATTGTACCATCTAAACCTCTGCAAAATATATTTTCAACAACCAAAAATATTGTATTTTCAGCTTGTGTACAAAACCGAAAGTAAAAGACTCAAAGACTAAACTTAATGGGAAGCATAGAAAAGGCAGATCTACTGCTTCATAGACTTGCTTTCAATGAGAATGACAGATCTGTAACTCACATTTCACCCAAAACTTTACATATTGCAGCTTTAAATATAAGTACCTTTAAATTATTAGCAGTTACAAGTTACTGGCAATAAGGTAAAATAATTGAAAACACATAACGTGTAATATTTTTTCTTTATTAGTAGCAGTTATTGGTACATGACTGTCATCCTTAATTACAGTGGAGTATTGATAGTTGGCACAAACAATATTAATATCCAGAATATTCTCACAATGAGCGTTCCTGTACACAATACTGATTCCACACACAAAAATAAAAACAATAAATAAATATCAAAAAATGGAAATGAACTCATTAAAATGTCAAGTAATGTTGTTATGACAACTAGAAAGCGTTCAAAAGGGTGTGCCATCTTTTCTTCAGTGCAAACAGTAGAAAATTAAAACAGAAAAAGTACACAATCGAATTGCCTTCTTCGTGGAATATGCAACCAGCCTGATAGAGAGGGGGGAGCAGACAGTGTAAAAGAAAGGTTGGGGCTACATGGCTTCAGTTTGGCCGTTACCAAACACACCATTTTCAAAATACCAGACTGTGGAATTCCCATTCTCTGAGCAAATTCCTACAGGACTGGGACAAGGAAATCAACTGTTATTGGTCGTTCACTAACCAATTAAAATGCCTCTTCTTGAGATAGAGAAAAATCGAGACGAGATTAAAACCACAAGTAGCACTCTTCACAGCATAAGACTTTTAGAGGGGTTGAGGTGCCTCTTAAGGAAATCCGATATGATTTAATTTTAAAACCCAAATAAAGTTTTACAAAAGCAAAACCTATGTATTCAAGAAGAGTGATATAAGGCAAGCAAGCTCTTTTATACAAATCAGAGAATTACTTTTACATAAAGTGTGTACATGTTGTAAGTAACTTCAAACACTTCAGTAGCTCAAACAGTTGGAGTATGTCTCCCCCTACTGGTTCAAATCAGTGTCACACTGCAGACAGCAGCAACACACAAGCGCAGTAGCCTCATGCTTTCAACCTACACTGATTAAAGAGAACGCCAAATAAAACCTGCCCAAAGCAAAAAAGGAACCCATAAAAAAAGATCTACCCCTTAGGTTCCAATTAACCCAACACTCCTAGATATGAGAGGATCAGAAGGGTGTAAGACAAAGCTCAACATGGTGGATACTCAACATAACCTACAAGGAAGCTAGGTGGAGCTCTTACCACATTGTTTTTAGCTAATCCCATGCAATCCTTTGCACTCTACCACAGTATCTAGGGGATATTGACAAGAGGTGTCTGAGGGTAGGGACAAGGTTAGGGTTAGATTTCAGACAAAGCAATAGTTTAAGGGGCATTGATTAGATTCCCTAAAGGAGATTTGTCCAAAAACCCTACCAGTATGCTGTGGATGTATTTTTTAAAGTAAAACACTAGCAGGGCACATGTTTTAACACCTTTAGACACTATTGGAAGATAGCTAGATGTAAACGTATCCACAGTATCCTAACAGGGTAAGCCAGTTTCCACCATGTTTGAGGTGGCTAACGTCAGACATGCTAGTTTAACTGCACTCCTAATGGTTCAGAGAAACAAGGATATTATCGAGACACTAGATTAACAGACATCTGGGCCCAGTGTCCTTAAATCGTCTGTGTAGGAGTGCTGATCTTTCAGATTTGATTAATTGATAAGATTATACAGACAGGTAGGGTCCTGATCCTAGATCAGCACTCCTACGCTTGAGACGCTTTGTAGATACAGGCCCGGAAGTAGAGATAGTCATGGATAGCTAACCTAAAATCGGGAATATGTCAAAACGCTGTAGTGTGTGACATTAGTCATATATTATACAATAGTTGTCAATGCTTAGTGTGACAGAATTTATGACTATGATAGTAGTTGATCCCTCAGATATTTGACTAGTCAAACTGTGGTGATCTCACCCAGGTAAGAGCCTGAAGGTCTTCCTAATGGAGTACTACACCACCCTGACACCGCTAGCTCTAATGTCAACACGTCCTGTGTCTGCCAATTTAGAGTAAACTAAAATAATCCTAAACACAAGCCTAACACAATTCAATTAAAATGTTTGGTTGTCAGACACAGAAGAGCACAGTATAGCTAGGCTAAGCGCTGCAGTGTAAGACCTTGATGGTTATAATGGTTATTGATGGTTATAATACTATGCTTATTGGTTCCGTGGTTGCCATGGCATCGTAACATAGCCTAGGCAGAGAGCTCTGTAAATATTGTACATATTTTATGTACAAAAAAAAAATTGGGGGGTTTTGGCTACTCTATATCCTGTGGTCTTGACTCTCAGAGTTGCAGGATTGTGATTAAAATTCTATATTTTGGCTTGATAGCTATCCGTTTGTCTGGATTCAAATAATCTGTTTTTTTGTTTAATCTGTTTGGAAGTATTACACCAAGGACTGCATACTGTGGCCAGAGGTAGCAGAGGAAGGTCAGGGACTGTTAAGGGAATGCTCCTAACCACTGCCAAGATGTGGTGGCTTTTCAGCAGCCGTGGCATTACCCAGGTGGGTGACTGACCATTCAGAAAAGGGCTGTTTTTCCAGACTGTCTTTGTTTCTACTTGGCTGTCCCGTCATTGCCCTCTCCTCTGAACCTACAATGCCTTTCCAGCACAAATTGCCTCAACTTGATCCCAAACCGACAGACTTTCAATCTCCATCATCTGAATGTTTTACTTTTTATGCGCTTTGAGATTCTTTGAAAAGCGCTATACAAGTTAAAAAATGTATTCATTATCTTTAACCCAAACATGCCTAGTAGGCTAGGTCTACTGTGTAGCATAGGCCTACTATGTATTGTTGATACATTGAGTAATTGAATAGGACCATTAACTGTGTCATCCTAAAGGATTTTAAATGCATTATTCACGTGTGGTTGTATTGAGTTTTAAAATGATCAAATAAAATGCAAGTGATTCTAAGTGGTCATAGAACGCTGTCATTCTGGCTCTATGCAGTTCGGTCAACAGAGGGGAGAGGGAAAACAGAAGTGTGGTCATGTTCCAAAAATACACACACGCATACTGTGTCACACGCACACAAAACATACAAACAGAAAAAGGTAATGACGCCTGAATCTGTGGGTCTTTCTGCAGGACTGTTCTGAACAGAGTGAGGAGAGTTGTCCAGAGGGAGAGGAACAGAGAGGGGGAACAAACCGATCTGTTCGTCGCTCTTTCGGTGCGTGACCAAGTGTTTAGTCTCGATAGGTCCTACTGCTCCACAACAGAGTGAATGATATGAGAAACCATGGCATGGGCTTAACACAGTTAGAGACCAAAGTGCTCCCAGAATGTCCTCTGCGTTCCAAAGATGACACAACCACAGCCATGTACAGACAGACTTCCCAATGGGGACAGGGACCTGGCCCTATAGATTTCTACAGCCAGTGGTGAGACTGTGGTCTATGTAGTAGGGACATGTTGAGCAGAGCTAGTCTGTCCGGCCCACAACTCTCATTTTGCACCCATCCCCCTCTCTCCGCTCTTCCCTGCGCTCTCCTTCAGACATGCCAAGTCCACTAGAGTACCTTCCCATGAATGGAAGCCTCAAGCTACCCTCCAATAGAGAGTAGATAACATACTGATTGGAATGCTGCCCTTAACACACTGATCTAAGGCCAGTTTAGCTTTTCCCTTCACTATGGAGAACATAAGGACTCAGGCAGGGTAAGCTGATCCTGAGAAATAATGCATCTCCAATAATCCAGCAGGAATCTCCTGGCAAGACGCAAAAGCCCTTGCACAGTGAGTGAGGTGAAGAGCCATGGTGGACACCCTATGCTCCCAAGGGGGCCGAGAGGATTAAATCAAGTCAATCCAGTGTGAGGCCTTGGATGGACTCACAGAGAAGGCTATAAACAGTACAGGAGGAAGGAAGCAACACATTTTCATTTCAGATAACAGGCTATCACTGCCATTATCTCAAACAAAACATGCACTTACACTGATGGCAATGACTATACAACCTCAAATGTAAGCAGCGGTCTAAATAAAAAGAACAGTGCTGTTGACATGAAGCTGGCCATATATTAGAACTAAACCGGTGAGTTGACATGAAGCTGGCCATATATAGTGACTGTCCAGAGGTCCTTGGCTGTCTGAGTGTGTGAGTGTGTAGTGGTGTAAAGTAGGATGTAGATAGGGACAGCAGATACAGGTGTCATTGTGAGTCGCCGTTGTTGCTGGCTATAGCTGTAGCGGTAGTCTTCTTCTTTGGTGTCTTTTTCACCGTCTTAGTCGTAGTCTGACAGGAGGGAAGAGAAACGAGGGGGAAGAGTTTACAAAACAGAAAATGAGAAATTAAGAAACGACAGAGCAAAAAAAACAATGAGAGAAATAGGTCTTCAGAGAACTTGGACAGGGGCTTATTGTGTCCTAAGTGGGCAGACTCACTCGCACAAGAGCCATCTTACAACCTACACACTGCATTCCTGAATTAGTCCATGGCGCGCACACAAATCTTCCTATACACAACCCATGCTATAGACACCAGTCATGTATTATTGAGCCGTATATACAGTGCCTATAGAAAGTCTACACCCCCTTGAACTTGGTTATCCCACTGGTTATCCCACTGGCTATAGGGTGAACGCACCAATTTGTGAGTCGCTCTGGCTAAGAGCGTCTGCTAAATGACGCTATAGACACCAGTCATGTATTATTGAGCCGTATATACAGTGCCTATAGAAAGTCTACACCCCCTTGAACTTGGTTATCCCACTGGTTATCCCACTGGCTATAGGGTGAACGCACCAATTTGTGAGTCGCTCTGGCTAAGAGCGTCTGCTAAATGACGTTAATGTGCCCTTGAGCAAGGCACTTAACCCTAATTGCTCCTGTAAGTCGCTCTGGTTAAGAGCGTCTGCTAAATGACTAAAATGTAAATGTAAATGTAACTTTTCACATTTTGCTGCCTTCATTTTTAAATGTAAAATAGGGATTCAATTAGATTCTTCCTACAGATCTACACAACCTACTCCACATTTCCAAAGTGAAAGAAAGTTATAGAACATTTACCAAATTAAGTTAACAATCAACTGAAATATCATAATTGAATAAGTCTCCTCCACCCCCCCCCCCCCCCCCCCCCCCCCCCCCGAGTTAGTACTTGGTGGAAGCAATTACAGCTGTGAATCATTTTCATTAAGATTCTACCAACTTTGCACAACTCTTAGGCCAACCCAGTATATCCATTGTTTTTTATCCATTGATTTAAGTCAGGACTGAGTCTAGACCACTCAACACCTTTTGGAAAGCCATTCTGGTGTTTTTTGCAAAAACGTGTGTAATTGTCCCACTGAAAAATAAAACCCTATCCCAGGGTTAGGTTTCAGAAGACTGTTGGGTTTTCCTCTAACTTTTTACCTGGACTTTGCTCCTTTCATATTTATTTTGATCCTAACAAACTCTCCTGCCAGTCTCCCATGGGAGCTCCACTGCTGGAGGCTGCTTCAAATACCACAGGCCTGTGCTGGAGTAGCCAACTAAACTCAACCATTTACGATGGAGTTGATCGGCAACTAGTGTGGGCTGACAGGAGCTCCGACGTCACAACATTTATTTCAGCACCCAAAGAACAATGTTGTGTGTAATTGCGGGCTATTCTTTGGGTGCTGAAATCTTTTTTTGATCATTTTATTTGACGTCGGAGCTCCAGTCCGTACACACTAGTCACTGCTAAACTCCATCATAAATAGTGGAGTTGAGTTGAAATCGGCTAGTGCTGCAGTAGAGTAGGATGATGTTTCCCTTACACACAGATCTAAGGTCAGTTTAGCATTTCCCTCCACTATGGATAAGATTAAAGACTCTGGGAGGGTAAGCTGATCCTTGAACAGTGTCTAGGGCAGCTTCTATGCAGCTGCTGGAGAAGGCGAGAGTGAGGAGCTGATATTCATACATGGTAATATGTGCTAATATATGAGAGTATTTCTATTGGAGGATTATACAGTCCAACTGTGGGTGACCCTGTGACTTGCATACATGCATGCACGCACACACTTAAACATGTTAGTAGTTAAGAGTGGGGCGAGACTGTATTGGCTTTGTCCTTCACTGAGGGTTGTGTTGTGACAGAGTGGTATGTGCACTATTCCTCTTTTTGATTTCTATATTATACACATTCACACAATACTGGTACGCACATTTTCTGACTCTCCTCAGTGCAGAAGAAGCAGTCACTCACCTGTCAGAAATAATGCATAAGCCCTAGTCTCACTCCACTCTGTGTTTGATCCCCTACCTCTGTCTTGGCAGCGGCAGGTTTTTTGGTTGCCTTGACGCTAGCCGTGCGTTTCACGGGGGCCTTCTCGACGACGTCCTCGTCGGAATGCTCCGTGGTGATGCTCCTGGTGTCTGATTGGTCCGAGCTGTGCTGCGATGATTCGTCAAGATGAGGGACCATGGAGGAACGAGCTGTGAGATTGGACAGAGGGATTGTGGGCTGTCATGAGTGAAATCATCATCTTCACGTTCCCACTTGTGTGCCAGGGGAGTATTCATTAGTTGTACACCGTAGCAAAACGTTTTGCAACAGAAACCGTTTACACCAAACAGAAAAGGTTTCGCAACGAAAACAAGTGTTTCCATTTGACAAATTCAGGTAGGTCCCTCCTAGTTTCATTCCGTTTGCTTCATAGAGAAGACACCCCAGGTTTCTAGACTCTCCGATCAGACACATGGTTGGTGAATGAGACTAGAGTACATGCCTATAGCCACTAACAGGAGCTCACGCATTACCAAACTGTTTCCTCTGTTATAGTCTATCAGTCGGTCTCTTTGCTACACTGGTTGTCCTCTTCCCCGCCTTTCATGCCATACTGCCCATTAACTCAATTTATTCCCTTCCACCATCCTCGCTCTCCTTTTCTCCCTGTATTCACAAACTGCCAGCCCCACAGAGACAGAGCTGTGCAGTCAGACACAAAGAACCCCTACTTCTCCTCCAACCCACTGACATCACATGCTCCCCCCCCCCCCCCCCCCATCTGGAGAGTTTCCTCCCTGGCATTCTGCAGTTGTTGGTTTTTTTTTTTTTTATTCACATGACTTCACCCCCTCCCTCCCTGCCCTGTACAAATAAGACCTGTTAGACAATAGGCACAGAGTACAGACAGACAAGTCAGCGTACTGTAATGCTACGACTAAAATGGCTGTCATTTCTCCTTCCTTTGTGACCACTGATCTGACAGGGGCGAGTTGTTCCACATACCCCATTATTCACAGTAATCTGTCCACATGCATTATATACACTCTGCCGTGTGGAAGCAGTTACGGCGCAGGGCAGCGTTTGTGCGCGTTACCCACTCTGGCGTGTGGCTTTGGCGCGGGGCAGGGTGTTAGATAGCGTGCTGCTTCCAGCAGCCATGTCGTCCATGGCGTCTCTCCTCATGCGGGGCTCAGAGGAACGCAGGCCCAGCTCCTCCCCATCGTTGATCAGAGTCAGGTCCTGCATGCTGAAACTACGCAGCTTCTCCGACAGCACGCCCTGGCCCTGCACACACACAAACACTGCAGGGTAGAGATGTATGCATATACAGACAGACGCCCTGCAGCATCCCAGTGCTAAGGCAAATGTACATACAGTAAGAACGAACACACACACCTCAAACGCCTTGAGGTGACAAACACACAGGATGGCACATAGGACAAAACATACACTCTTGCACAAGGAAACACCGTGTGCAGACAGACAAGCACACACCCACCCCTAGTCAGGGCCCGGGGCCTTGCTTACCTTGCTAGCTGCAGTGACTGCAGCGGTAGCAGCCAAGTTCAGCCCTCTCTTCCCAAATCTCATCATAGTCTCATAACTACGGTCTTTGGCCTGGGTTATGTATTCGTCTATTTCCTACATGACAGAACATGGGGAAAGAGACAAACAGAAAAAGGGAGACAAAAAGGAAAAAGCAGGAGAGAAACAGAAATAGGTAGACAGAGAGAGAGGAAGAGGGTGACAGTCACGCAAAACAGAGAGTAGACAAAGAGAAATACGCGTCAGTGCATCTAACCAGTTGAGAACTGACGGGCAGACAGAGCTGAAGCTTATTGTGACCTCTCACCCGCTCTTTGTTGGACAGGGTTAGGGTGGGAGTTCAGGGTTAAGAGTTACACTTTACCTTCTCCTTGTTGGACAAGGTGGGGTGGACAAACTTGCGGTAGAGCACGCTGGAGCCCTTAGTGTACGGAGACAGGAGCCAGATCACAAAGGCTATCTTCAACTCAAAGTAGAAAGGAAACCTGCATGGACAACCACACCAACATTTTAGTCATTTAGCAGACGCTCTTATCCAGAGCGACTTACAGTTAGTGAGCGCATACATTTTTCATACCAACAGGAGATACTTAATAGGCAGGACAGAAGAATAGATTTCACAGAAACAATATCATCATTTCCTCTTTCATGTACCAAAGGGTGTACCAAGCATTTGCTCTGATATCGTGGTACATTTCAGAAGGCAACAGCCTACCTACACCATGAATAGATATTGTCAAAGTATATTGCTCCTAGGGATTGTCCTAGGGACTAGTGTTGTATAGTGGCTGTAGGGCAGTTGTCAGAGGTGACCAACCAGGACTCACCAGGACATGAACAGGTCTGTGAGGGTCTCCGCCGTGGTGAATAACGCAAACACTATCCAGTACATCATCCATTTCACCTGGACACACACAAACGATGGTGAGAGCGTCCCAAATAGAGCACATGAAAGCATAGCCTACAGTAAGCTGTCGTAAGAATGTGACAAGACACATATACATCATTCACCGTCTCCCTCACACACACACGAGTATGCATATGTTACGGCCCTTATAGACCAAATCAGTATGCATGGTTTATCACTGCCAAAGGATGGGCAAGGAATAAAATCCAGTCAGTGTGTACCATCAATTATTGCAATATAATTAGCAAGATTTATGGATAAATCCTAAATGTCACACTGACAGAATGTCACACAAACATCTAAATACTGTGCATTCGGAACATATTCGGACCCCTTCCCTTTTTCCACATTGTTACGTTGCAGCCTTATTCTAAAATTGATTAAATTAATGTTTTTCCTCTATCTACACACAATACCCCATAATGACAAAGCGAAAACAAGTAGAGAAATGTTTGCAAATGTATTAAAAATAAAACAAATACCTTATTTACATAAGTATTCAGACCCTTTGCTATGAGATTCGAAATAGAGCTCAGGTGCATCCTGTTTCCATTGATCATCCTTGAGATGTTTCTACAACTTGGAGTCCACCTGTGGTAAATTCAATTGATTGGACATGATTTGGAAAGGCACACACACACACACACACACACACACACACGTCTATATATGGTCCCACAGTTGACAGTGCAAAAACCAAGCCATGAGGTAGAAGGAATTATCCGTAGAGCTCCGAGACAGGATTGTGTCGAGGCACAGATCTGGGGAAGGGTACAAAAACATTTCTGCAGCATTGAAGGTCCAAGAACACAGTGGCCTCCATCATTCTTAAATGGAAGAAGTTTGGAACCGCCAAGACTCTTCCTAGAGCTGGCCGCCCGGCCAAACTGAGCAATCGGGGGGAGAAGGGCCTTGGTCAGGGAGGTGGCCAAGAACCCGATGGGTACCACTCTGCAGCACTCCACCAATCAGGCCTTTATGATAGAGTGGCCAGATGGAAGCCACTCCTCAAAAGAGGCACAACAGCCCACTTGGAGTTTGCCAAAAGGCAACAAAAGGACTCTGACCATGAGAAACAAGATTCTCTGGTCTGACAAAACCATTATTGAACTCTGGCCTGAATACCAAGCGTCACGTCTGGAGTAAACCTGGCACCATCCCTACGGTGAAGCATGGTGGTGGCAGCATCATGCTGTAGAGATGTTTCTCAGCGGCAGGGACTTGGAGACTAATCAGGATAGAGGGAAAGATGAACGGAGCAAAGTAAAGAGATGTCCTTGATGAAAACCTGTTCCAGAGCGCTCAGGACCTCAGACTGGGGCGAAGGTTCACCTTCCAACAGGACAACGACCCTAAGCACACAGCCAAGACAACGCAGGAGTGGGTTCGGGACAAATCTCTGAACGTCCTTGAGTGGCCCAGCCAGAGCCCGGACGTGAACCCGATTGAACATCTCTGGAGAGACCTGAAAATAGCTGTGCAGTGACGCTCCCCATCCAACCTGACAGCTTGAGAGCATCTGCAGAGAAGAATGGGAGGAACTCCCCAAATACATGTGTGCCAAGCTTGTATCGTCATACCCAAGAAGACTCAAGGCTGTAATCGCTGCCAAAGGTACTTCAACAAAGTACTCAGTAAAGGGTCTGAATAGTTATGTAAATGTATTCGATTTCTTTTATTTTTTAAAATATAAATATACTTTTGCAAAAATGTCAACCTTGTTTTCGCTTCGTCATTATGGGGTATTGTGTGTAGATTGATGAGGGGATTTTTTTTTTTTTAAGCCATTTTAGAATAAGGCTGTAATGTAACAAAATGTGGAAAAAGTCAAGGAGTCTGAATACTTTCCAAATGCACCGTATGTCTATCGACATATCAAAAATTAAAAGTACTAAACTGCAGTGAATAGCCTGAGAGGATGAGTCACATTGTAATGTCAAGAGCTACACAACTCAGGCTAAAATGTGTGATGTTACATAAATAGCTACTGTGATAGCTACGGTGGAAATCATTTGACTGAATCATTTTGAAGGGGGGGGGGGGCAAAAAGAAATAAAAACAAGGCTAAAAAAATGGCATCCTCCTCTGCATCTCTCCCTCCCACTCAGTCTGCATGTACCCCCGCTCAGATATTGAGAGTGGGGTTTCTATAGCAACCAGAGGGAGGAGAGAGAGGTCCCCACTTCCTTCTCATCCCTCTGCTCACTGACGGGGATGAGGGAAGCTGGGAGGCTCCCTTTTAAATGGATACAGTTGAACTGCTCTCGCATCCTCAGAGACAATGGAAACTTGCAGCATCCCATTGGAGAGTAAAAGCCTACACCCCATTTTAAAACCATCACTTTTTCCATCTTATTTCAATAAGAATTAGTATACGAGATGGCTACAAAAGAGACTATACTAATATACTGGAATAAAAAAGGTACAGTACTCACATATTCCTTCACATTCTTAGTCTTGACGGCCTTGTATGAGGAGTATGCCGGGTAGAGGGTCCCGAAGGCCAGGCTGAAGGACGAGGAGGCGGCATGGGTCAGAGATCAGAGGTTAAGGTACGGTAAACATCACCCGGGCAACATGGCCTCAGGATGCCATCACTGAACAAATGTTTCCCTGTTTCAATATTTATCCAGTCAAATGACTCGAGTCTAAAACCCATGATCTCAGAGTCAACATAAATAGGTTGCTTTGAAGGAAAGTAGAACATATTCTGGGCAGGCTCTAAAAATGTGCACTCATAAGAAATAAACACTGTTAGCCTACTTAGGGCTCCCGCTGTAATGCAATAATATATGGTGACATTTAGACATAAAAAACAGCAGTGGTTTGTTGGAATAAATTATCTCTCCAGGAAACAGAAGATTGGAAAACCATGGAGAGCATTTCTGCTACTGTACTGATAGATGATGACAGGTCACCATATGTGAACCTGCCTGCAACACACAAAAAAGGAAAAATAAATCCAGTCACACACACACTGTCCTCTGTCCTGTCGGCCTGGCAATTACTGCTGATGTGACAGGAACTGAATGCTGAGCGAGGGGAGATCTAGGATGACCACGCCTTACTGTCTGTCTGCCACACACACAGCCATCAGAGGCTGTCTGCTACCAGTGTAGGTTAAATTGGGATTATGTGTACCATCTTTGTCTGAGTGATATATGGTGTATGCCAGGCCCTCTTTTAGGCTGTGTCTGTGGAAATCTTCCTGCTATGGGTTTTGCTTGTTCCATTTGTGTGTCGTGTACACTGGGTCCATCCAGGTCTTTCTGTCTGTGTCTGTGTGTGATTTGCCCAGTCATGCGTGTGGAGCCAGTGCTGCTCTGCACTGTATCGGTAGCTGTACATTACAGTAAGAGGAGACATTGGGCAGGGCACCCATGTTTCACAAGTTTGGACATCACAGTAGAGTTCAGTACACTAGAGTAGAAAACATGAATGTACATATCTACTTTACTGGCTACAATGGGAGATTATAGTAGTCACAAACCACAGTTGGGTCACCTGCTACAGTCCTCCCTTACACTGGGGGTAGCATAGACTGATACGTTAGTTTTTGTGCCCAAGGTGTAGGGCTATATTTTTGTTATAATGAAGAAAAATACATTGAGAACCTCAAATGTCATCTCTTATTTATATCCATAGTTGTGCATTTCTGTATAGTACAGATCAGAGACCCATGATGAAATTCCAGGTAGCACTTCATTTTAAGGGGTCCTTATTACACTAACAAGTATTGTAATACAGTTACACTGTAATAAGATGTAACTGGTGGTAATTGCAGTCTAAGTACAGCGGTGTAACAACGAATGCTTGTTACAAATGTTAAAGTTACCGATAGCATCCCAACGCACCATATTTCAGCCTGCACAAACTATGTGATAGTGTTAGCCAATTTAAAACCAACCACTTCATTGACACAACTCTGCAATAAAGGGCTCTGGAGTCTGATGCCCAGGCCCAATGGCAAAAACGTATAAAAAAAGAAATATATACTTTCATGAATAATTATTTAATTAAAACCAATAGCGGCCATCGACGCTAACGGCCTTGTTTTCTAACAATAATAAGTGTCAATATCGCAAAATTAACTCGCTAACAACATGTTGTCGTATTCGCGTGGCTGTTATCAACCAGGGTTTTATGTCATTTGACTAAATTGTATTTTTTACTCAAATTGACAGCACCGAAGCAGAATGACTTCACTGTGAAAGAGGCTTTATCTATGTTGGTTGGTGATACAGATTCACACACATCCTTGCACTTTGAAAAGCGATGATGTCGAAATGAGTGAAATAAGTAAACAGCAGATATGTTTGATGCTGTGAAACTTGGGGAATAGCTCACAGATTAGCAAATCCTGTCATGTCATGATAACTTGGTTGGTACAGACAAGCACATCAGCGGTGGAGCTCGAACGATTGCGCGCTGTCTCATAGAAATAGTTGCAGTGTTTAGCTGTATATAGTCAGCTAACAAGTTGGTTGTTTCGTCTTGTTTCTGCCGATGTAATTTATATGGAAACGGCCCAAGCTGCTTTCTATATCTAGCTAGCTAACTAGTTAGTCGGTCAGGCAAGAAAAGTTGTGTAGTGATGAATTTGGGTAGCGCTCACGAAGCGTCAACCTCAGCTGTCACTTTTACTAGCTAGCCATACAGAAAACCAGCTAACTAGCCACCGAAACGAAGGCTAGAGTAATTGGTGTTTATCGGTTGGGCTTAGGTTATGCTTTGTCATGATTGCTAGGTGCAGATATTCATAGGCTATACATTGCCTTGTTTTTCTATTATTTGAAAGCTTAGTTGCCGTATTAGGGTAGAAGATGCCCGCGCAGTGGAGCGCATATGATGAGTTATTTGTTTACATAGCCAGCTCACAAGTTGCTTGTTTTGTCCTGTTTCTACCGATGCAATTAATTTGGAAACTTTCCCAGCTTTGTAACTTATCAGCTAACATTGTCCCACTCTGTAGTTAGTGAGAGAAATGGCAGGCGTGTAACTATCACAATTCATAATGGAAACATCTTATTAGGAAAAGAGTATGTATGGTTGAGAAAGAAAGGAAGGAAGAGAAAGACAGAGGGAGAGATTATGTTCCCGACTACAATTGTATCCTATTTGTTGCTCCTCTCCCTCTGTTTCTCTGTTCCTCTTGGTCAGTGAAAGAAGTGATGTGGAGAGTCAGGGTTCAGCAGCAAAAGGCAGGGAGGAATAGGAGTTAGAGATGATTGGAGGGGTAGAGATGTGGAGCGAGGAGAGAGTGGAAGAGGGAGAGAGGAAGAGGAGAGTGAAGGGAGAGGTCCATGAGAAGGGAGAGGAAGGAGCAGAGGGCGAGGAATAGGGAGGGGAAGATGGAGAGCACACCTGAGAGGGGAGCCTACGTTTCCATGTCGTGCGTATGCCCTAAGTCCCACCATTCACCCTTGTACTACACAGCCTGGGCCTAAAGTGACAGTGGCAGGGGTTTTGGAGTCATTTTTAAAAATGGTAGGAATTTATCTGTTCCAGAGCTTGTAATGGATTACAACATGAAAATGGGCAGGGTTGACCATCTTGACCAACTGAGTGGCTATTACAATGTTGGACACAGGCAGAAAGTGGTGGAAGTACAGTGAAGGAAAAAAGTATTTGATCCCCTGCTGATTTTGTACGTTTGCCCACTGACAAAGAAATGATCAGTCTATAATTTTAATGGTAGGTTTATTTGAACAGTGAGAGACAGAATAACGACAACAAAATCCAGAAAAACACATGTCAAAAATGTTATAAATTGATTTGCATTTTAATGAGGGAAATAAGTATTTGACCCCTCTGCAAAACATGACTTAGTGGCAAAACCCTTGTTGGCAATCACAGAGGTCAGATGTTTCTTGTAGTTGGCCACCAGGTTTGCACACATCTCAGGAGGGATTTTGCCCCACTCCTCTTTGCAGATCTTCTCCAAGTCATTAAAGGTTTCGAGGCTGACGTTTGGCAACTCGAACCTTCAGCTCCCTCCACAGATTTCTATGGGATTAAGGTCTGGAGACTGGCTAGGCCACTCCAGGACCTTAATAAGCTTCTTCTTGAGCCACTCCTTTGTTGCCTTGGCCGTGTGTTTTGGGTCATTGTCATGCTGGAATACCCATCCACGACCCATTTTAAAATGCCCTGGCTGAGGGAAGGAGGTTCTCTCCCAAGATTTGACGGTACATGGCCCCGTCCATCGTCCCTTGCGGTGAAGATGCGGTGAAGTTGTCCTGTCCCCTTAGCAGAAAAAACTCCTTAGCATAATGTTTCCACCTCCATGTTTGACGGTGGGGATGGTGTTCTTGGGGTCATAGGCAGCATTCCTCCTCCTGCCAAAGAGCTCGATTTTGGTCTCATCTGACCACAACACTTTCACCCAGTTCTCCTCTGAATCATTCAGATGTTCATTTGCAAACGTCAGACGGCCCTGTATATGTGCTTTCTTGAGCAGGGGGACCTTGCAAGCGCTGCAGGATTTCAGTCCTTCACGGCGTAGTGTGTTACCAATTGTTTTCTTGGTGACTATGGTCCCAGCTGCCTTGAGATCATTGACAAGATCCTCCCGTGTAGTTCTGGGCTGATTCCCGTGTAGTTCTGGGCTGATTCCTCACCGTTCTCATAATCATTGCAACTCCACGAGGTGAGATCTTGCATGGAACCCCAGGCCGAGAGAGAATTACAGTTCTTTTGTGTTTCTTCCATTTGCGAATAATCACACCAACTGTTGTCACCTTCTCACCAAGCTGCTTGGCGATGGTCTTGTAGCCCATTCCAGCCTTGTGTAGGTCTACAATCTTGTCCCTGACATCCTTGGAGAGCTCTTTGGTCTTGGCCATGGTGGAGAGTTTGGAATCTGATTGATTGATTGCTTCTATGGACAGGTGTCTTTTATACAGGTAACAAGCTGAGATTAGGAGCACTCCCTTTGAGTGTGCTCCTAATCTCAGCTCATTACCTGTATAAAATACACCTGGGAGCCAGAAATCTTTCTGATTGAGAAGGGGTCAAATACTTATTTCCCTCATAAAAAATGCAAATCAATTTATAACGCTTTTCTGGATGTTTTTGTTGTTATTCTGTCTCTCACTGTTCAAATAAACCTACCATTAAAATTATACTGATAATTTCTTTGTCAGTGGGCAAACATAAAATCAGCAGGGGATCAAATACTTTTTTCCCCTCACTGTATATATACACACACATAAGTATGTGGACACCCCTTCGAATTCATGGATTCGGCCGTTTTAGCCACACCCATTGCTGACAGGTGTATAGAAATCGAGCACACAGCCATGCAATCCTCATAGACAAACACTGGCAGTACAATGGCCTCACTGAAAAGCTCAGTGACTTTCAACGTTGCATCGTCATAGGATGCCACCTTTCCAACAAGTCAGTTCATCAAATTTCTGCCCTGCTAGAGCTGCCCCGGTCAACTGTAAGTGCTGTTATTGTGAAGTGGAAACGTCTCGGAGCAACAACGTCTCAGCAGTAAAGTGGTAGGCCACGACCGCCGAGTGCTGAAGCGCGTAAAAATAGTCTGTCCTTGGTCGCCACACTCACTACGGAGTTCCAAACTGCCTCAGGAAGCAACGTCAGCACAATAACTGTTTTTTGGGAGCTTCATAAAATTGGTTTCCATGGCTGAGCAGCCGCACACAAGCCTAAGATCACCATACGCAATGCCAAAAGTCGGCTGGAGTGGTGTAAAGCTCGCCGCCATTGGACTCTGGAGCAGTGGAAATGCGTTCTCTGGAGTGATGAATCATGCTTCACCATCTGGCAGTCCGACGGTCAAGTCTGGGTTTGGCGGATGCCAAGAGAACGCTACTTGCACCAATGCATAGTGCCAACTGTAAAGTTTGGTGGAGGATGAATAATGGTCTGGGGCTGTTTTTCATGGTTCGTGCTAGGCCCCTTAGTGCCAGTGAAGGGAAATCTTAATGTTACAGCATACAATTACATTCTAAACTATTTTGTTTCTCCAACTTTGTGACAACAGTTTGGGGAAGGCCTTTTCCTGTTTCAGCATGCCCCCTTGCACAAAGCGAGGTCCATACAGAAATGGTTTGTCGAGATCGGTGTGGAAGAACTTGACTGGCCTGCACAGAGCCCTGATCTCAATCCCATCAAACACCTTTGGGATGAATTGGAACGCGGACTGCGAGCCAGGCCTAGTCGCCCAACATCAGTGCTCAACCTCACTAATGCTCTGTTGCTGACAAGAATCAAGTCCCCGCAGCAATGTTCCAACATCTAGTGGAAAGCCTTTATTTTTATTCTCAGAAGAGTGGAGCAGAACCAACTCCATATTAATGCCCATGATTTTGGAATGAGATGTTTGACGAGCAGGTGTCCACATACTTGGTCATGTAGTGTATTTTAACATGTCCTTGTGACAGGCTACACTGGTAACTCGAGCTTGGCTCCCAGGTTTGGTATGCTTTATAAACTATTTGGTATAGTGTTGCCATAATATTGGAATGAAGGAAGTGTGATCCTAATCATTATTTTAGCGATCCCCAATAGAAGTCCTGACTTGTCATTTCCAAAAGTTTAGCTCAGTTGGAATACTGCTTTGCATCCATTAACCGCAAGGGTTGCATTAAATAGGCCCAATATTTTTTTACTGACGCATTTGGCGATGTTCAATTTATTGGCACAAAATGTAGAAACTAAATCATTCACTGAATGTTGATACATGTAGGCCCTTCATATATAGGCTATGGGCAGCACTTCGTTTTAAGCATCGCGAGCAACATGTCAAACTCAGACATTTCTCTCAAAACAGTGATGTCAATTCGCACGGGACTAGTATTATAAGAGGACCTTGGAGTTTGTCGAAAAACAGTTGTTTTTTTACGGCTGGAATTATTACTCTCCTGCCATGCAAAAATGACCGACATGGCAGATTCCAACGGGATTTAAATTACTGATGCGGTGATTTGTGCTCATGCACATAATTACATATCCCTATCTCCCCCAGTAAAACGAATCCTGTGCGAATAATGACATTATTCAGCGCCTGTGCATTTCAAAACTAGCAGGCAGGTTCCGCTATTTACATTGGAGGTAAAACTGTGGCTCCTGTTCCACACTAAGATGACAATTTCTATTGTTGACATGAAAACATAGTTTGATAGCTAAACTTACCACACAAACCATTTCAGGTGAGTTTACCTTTTCCTACCACGTAAATACAACACTGATTATTAACAAACACAGTAAGCTGATAACAGCTAGATACATTCTGGGATGTACGATGATGACTGTGTGGGACTCAACAGGATCTAGACAGCTGTTGACTCGCCTGGCTGCCAGGGTACAGGCGAGCCTAGCTCAACTGTCTCATTATCAAAGGACATGCGCCTCCCTCTTTCTCTCACCAAAACATAATTGGTCTCACCCCTATGAAACAGCACCACTGTCACGTTGACAGCGCGATAACACATTAAGCCCGATGTATATGCATTTTGTTTTCGCCGCATTTTCGGTAGTTGACGCACGTGCTTCGCTTTTCAACTAGCTGAAAGCTAACTAGTTGGCATCTGTGTACTTCAGTTTGTAACACCGCACGGTAAAGCAGCGTACTAGTTGAAAATATTGAACGCATGCGGTACACAGAACGTACCGGCAGCCACAAGGTATTGTTGTGGACTGCTCCATTGACAATTAATGAATTCCGCCGGAATGCAAACAGTGAAGCATCTGGTGGACATGAGGCGTTAAAGCGTCAATGTGTAACTTTTTGGGCGACGGACCAAAATCACCTAAATGTGAGTTCTAGATCTGTCATTCTCATTGAAAGCAAGTCTAAGAAGCTGTAGATTTTATTCTATGAACACTATTTCTATACTTCCCGTTCTTAAGTTTTGTACACCAGCTTAAAAAAGCTGAAAATACAATATTTTAGGTTAATTAAAATGTATGTTATTTAACATCGGTTTAGATGGTACATGGATTCTCTACACTTCTCTAATTCTTGTTTTGTCAAAAACTGAAAAGTAGGCTAACTATTCAAATTTCAGCAACCAGGAAATGGCGAGCGAGTTCTGCATATTGCACCTTTTAAGACAACTCAAATGACAACGATGAGAAATCAGGTAAAATCTTGACTTGGTCTTGGTTGAGGTGACATTGGGAATAGTGCATAATCCTGATAGTGCAGGCCCGGCTGTTATGATCATCAAAACATATGACAGCAACTGCACTGACGCTAAATGATTTGTCTGGCTGTCAGTGTCACGCTAACAGTGCAGTTGCTGCCATGTTTTGATGATCATAGCAGCCGGGCCTGCACTACTCAGGATTATGCACGATTAGCAATATTAAGGACTAAAGCATTTTGTATTACTGATTTAGTTACACAACCGATATGAATTGGTAAATTAGCTTCAGTAGATGGCATTAGCAAGCTTGTTAGTTAACCATTTTATGCATTCCACCTTCACTTGGCTAGCAGCGTTGTCATTTCAGCTAACCATTAACTAGCTACCTTGCCAATTTTGCACAGGCTAACGGTGTTGCTGTTTGACTACAATCCTGGTTTTATGAAACACCAGTGGTCAAAATGTACATTTAAGCACCATGGGCTATAGACAAACCAACGACAATTGAATTGTTCGCAAATTAGCTCGCTCGCTACCGATCTGGCTATCAAGATACATGTCCGCGTGCGCTTTGGGCCACAAGCCATGGCAGCGAACGGATGACAGCAGCGCGAGCTATCGTATGCAGCTGTAGAACTCGATGTGGGCTGACGAGCCGATCGCTACAACAAACAGACGCTGCAGAATGCATACTCACACTACCATCCTGGAGATAATCCACGACACCATCTTAATTGATTGTAGTGAGCGTTTCCTTATTCTCAGAAATCTAACTAGCTGGCTACCCCCCCCATTCCTCCGGCCACGACCGTGTGGCTGTTATGCAAGTGCAGTTGCCTGGTGCTGCTCTTGAGTGCTCTATTTTTCTGGCAGGTAGGGTACTGTGAATTCTGAATCTGCTGCATTCAAATCGCTGGAACTCCTCTTTCTCTTAAAGGGGCGGGTCCACACTGTTTTGTCTAGCCCGCAGAGAAGGCAACTGGTTACTGCCACAATGAAATAGGTCCTATGAAGGCTGCCACTGACCCAATTAGCTGAAATATGTAGGCTTAGCTAGATAGACAAGACCAAAAAGCTCTGTACAGTGAAATGTCAGATGCACTGATGTCCCAGACAGTGCTTGATACTATGTGTAGACCAGGGCTCCTCCAACCCTGTTCCTGGAGAGCTATAGTCCTGTAGGTTTTCGCTCCAACCCTAATCTAGCACATCTGATTCTAATAATTAGCTGGTTGATAACTGAATTAGGTTAGTTATGACTGGGGTTGGAGCAAAAACCTACAGGGGGGGGTAGCTCTCCAGGAACAGGGTTGGTGAGCCCTGCTGTAGGCGCTAGGCAGCCGCCACAACTAGTCTGTCTTCATTCATTCCCTCATAAAAATAATGGCATGGTATTGTGTGTAATAATATTTGCACAAGATCGCTCTATGGCATTATGTAATTGATTATCTGTTAAATAATATTCTATGTAATACAAAACAGCTGTTCGGGGTTTGGTAATTGAATTAGGACCACATTAATCTAGAACTAGCATGTGAATACACATGATTTGCCATTACGTAGTGGATGGTTCTCTGGGAATAGACTTCAGTGGGAGGATATTATAAGAGACTGCCTGCCTTATTTCTGTTATCACTTTCAAATTCAGAATTATGCAGGTGAGTCAGGAGGCAGAAGAACATTGGGTAGTGGCTTAGGGTGGTCTAGGGTGGTCTAGCGATTAAAGGCGCTGCCTCCGGATCACACATACTGCTGCAGCCTGGGTGCAAATCCATCCAAAGACATACAGTGAGGGAAAAAAAGTATTTGATCCACTGCTGATTTTGTACGTTTGCCCACTGACAAAGAAATGATCAGTCTATAATTTTAATGGTAGGTTTATTTGAATAGTGAGAGACAGGATATCAACAAAAAAATCCAGAAAAACACATGTCAAAAATGTTATGAATTGATTTGCATTTTAATGAGGGAAATAAGTATTTGACCCCTCTGCAAAACATGACTTAGTACTTGGTGGCAAAACCCTTGTTGGCAATCACAGAGGTCAGACGTTTCTTGTAGTTGGCCACCAGGTTTGCACACATCTCAGGAGGGATTTTTGTCCCACTCCTCTTTGCAGATCTTCTCCAAGTCATTAAGGTTTTGAGGCTGACGTTTGGCAACTCGAACCTTCAGCTCCCTCCACATATTTTCTATGGGATTAAGGTCTGGAGACTGGCTAGGCCACTCCAGGACCTTAATAAGCTTCTTCTTGAGCCACTCCTTTGTTGCCTTGGCCGTGTGTTTTGGGTCATTGTCATGCTGGAATACCCATCCACGACCCATTTTCAATGCCCTGGCTGAGGGAAGGAGGTTCTCTCCCAAGATTTGACGGTACATGGCCCCGTCCGTCGTCCCTTTGATGCAGTGAAGTTGTCCATTTAGCAGAAAAACACCCCCAAAGCATAATGTTTCCACCTCCATGTTTGACGGTGGGGATGGTGTTCTTGGGGTCATAGGCAGCATTCCTCCTCCTCCAAACACGGCGAGTTGAGTTGATGCCAAAGAGCCCCATTTTGGTCTCATCTGTCCACAACACTTTCACCCAGTTCTCTTCTGAATCATTCAGATGTTCATTGGCAAACTTCAGACGGGCATTTATGTGCTTTCTTGAGCAGGGGGACCTTGCGGGCGCTGCAGGATTTCAGTCCTTCACGGCGTAGTGTGTTGCCAATTGTTTTCTTGGTGACTATGGTCCCAGCTGCCTTGAGATCATTGACAAGATCCTCCCGTGTAGTTCAGGGCTGATTCCTCACCGTTCTCATGATCATTGCAACTCCACGAGGTGAGATCTTGCATGAAGCCCCAGGCCGAGGGAGATTGACAGTTCTTTTGTGTTTCTTCCATTTGCGAATAATCGCACCAACTGTTGTCACCTTCTCACCAAACTGCTTGGCGATGGTCTTGTAGCCCATTCCAGCCTTGTGTAGGTCTACAATCTTGTCCCTGACATCCTTGGAGAGCTCTTTGGTCTTGGCCATGGTGGAGAGTTTGGAATCTGATTGATTGCTTCTGTGGACAGGTGTCTTTTTATACAGGTAACAATCTGAGATTAGGAGCACTCCCTTTAAGAGTGTGCTCCTAATCTCAGCTCGTTACCTGTATAAGACACCTGGGAGCCAGAAATCTTTCTGATTGAGAGGGGGTCAAATACTTATTTCCCTCATTAAAATGCAAATCAATTTATAACATTTTTGTTATGCGTTTTTCTGGATTTTTTGTTTGTTATTCTGTCTCACTGTTCAAATAAACCTACCATTAAAATTATAGACTGATCATTTCTTTGTCAGTGGGCAAACGTACAAAATCAGCATGGGATCAAATACTTTTTTCCCCTCACTGTATGTGGAGTGGAACTGCAAAAAATATATAAATGGGGTAAATCATGCTGATGCGTTATATGGACGTATTGTTTACATACAGTATTTAACACCTGATACATAAGCGTTACGATGTGAAGACATGTAACAGTTGTTCAACAATTGAGTCCAATGATACACAAAACAGTTGTATAAATCACCATTACATTTAATTATTTGTGAACTTTATTTTGAAAAATCAAACAGACTAAGGATCATCGATATATATTGATACATTGTTAACGGCCAGTAGTTTCTGTTCAGTTGGAATCGTGATTCTTGTACAACGTTTTGAAGTCTGCACTTCATCCATGCAAACCTTGGGACAACAAAGGTGACCAAATAAATGGATACATTTCTCAAAGCCACTCTGTCAAGCATTCAAAGCGAATACTCTGAATTACCCTCCATAAAATAAAGAAAACATGTTAAGTCCTTGCTTTTAATTAAAAATAAGACAACTAAAAATACAAAACTTTGGTCTAGTTCACTTCGATGCTTGTTACTTGCACAAGTCTTAATTCCACCACTAAAGGTGGAAGGAAATCTGATTTTAAAACCAACAAAAAAAATATCTAAAAGCAAGTGAAACCTCTCTTCTAAGGAAGAATAATAATATCAATGGTGGTCAAAAAAGGAAACACAGCCCAGTGCTCACATTTAGTCAGACGCTACACAGAAGCTGAATCTCCTCACATCACATACTCCCCTTCCATAAACAAACAGGACACACGGACCTTAAATACAGAGTTCATCAGAAGTGAATTGGAAAACAACTAAGACGTGTAGAGCATGTCGTGTAACAGCGATGAAGTAGTACTGCCTTCATCCAAGTCATGACTATAGACCCTCCCCACCCCCCACAAACTAAGAGAGTTGTGAGCACATCACCGTGCCTCTCTCTGCACACCGAGAACTCTACTCTATAACTGCAGCTTGTGTGTGTGTGTGTGTTGTGTGTTTAGCGGGCACTAAGAGCGTGCTAGCTTGGGTTCGTGGGCCCTCAGTGTCCCCACAGCGTCCTTTACGGCATGGTAGATGATGTTCTTCACCTAGAGAACAGAGATCAACATTCCCATCAAATCCCGTCAAAATTACAAATTGTACAACAATGTATTACTGATTGTTTAGCTGATTGATCAATCGATTCAATCCTTTATTCGTTCTCTCAAATAACTATACTATACTGGAGTCGTAGTTATAGTGCTCTACTTTTGACCAGGGTCAAAAGTAGTGCACTACATAGTGAATAGGGTGCCATTTGGGAGGTAGCCAAAGTGTACCTGCAGCTTGTCCTCGTGGTTGGAGTGTGTGGTGGACAGGTGTCTGAACTCCTGGGTCAGCCTGAAACAGTGCTTCACATGCTCAGGAGACACAAAGTCCTCCGCCACCTTGATACAGCTGTACAGGTTATGGACCTGGGGGGGACATGAGAGGATAAAGAGAGTGTGAGAGGTGCCGAGACAAAGACAATGTGTGGCGTAAGAAAAGCAAGAGTATAGACATCATATAGCTAAAAAGGGACAACACAAGGGTACGCTCTGCCCCTATGTAACCATTAAACAACACGTCTCAGTCTAAACCTTGGCTGGTACTTCCAGTGTTTCCCCTAGTACCTGTCGCTCTCCGCTAACATCAAAGCGGTGACCCGATCCTGCAGGTTCATGCTCTACAACAGTCGCAGAGTACGACCCTACCTTACACAGAAAGCGGCACAGGTCCTAATCCAGGCACTTGTCATCTCCCGTCTGGATTACTGCAACTCGCTGTTGGCTGGGCTCCCTGCCTGTGCCATTAAACCCCTAAAGCTCATCCAGATTGCCGCAGCCCGTCTGGTGTTCAACCTTCCCAAGTTCTCTCATGTCACCCCGCTCCTCTGCACACTCCACTGGCTTCCAGTTGAGGCTCGCATCTACTACAAGACCATGGTGCTTGCCTACGGAGCTGTGAGGGGAACGGCACCTCCTTACCTTCAGGCTCTGATCAGACCCTACACCCAAACGAGGGCACTACATTCATCCACCTCTGGCCTGCTAGCCCCCCTACCTCTACGGAAGCACAGTTCCCGCTCAGCCCAGTCAAAGCTATTCGCTGCTCTGGCACCCCAATGGTGGAAACAAGCTCCCCCACAACGCCAGGACAGCGGAGTCACTGACCACCTTCCGGAGACACTTGAAACCCTACCTCTTTAAGGAATACCTGGAATAGTATAAAAGTAATCCTTTTACCCTCCCCCACCCCCCCCAGTGGTTGTCCCACTGGCTATCATAAGTTGAATGCACCAATGTGTAAGTCGCTCTGGATAAGAGCGTCTGCTAAATGACTTAAATGTACCTGGTGGGGAGCCCCAGCGGGGATGAAGACAGCGTCTCCCAGGAACTGTACGATGGCCCAGCCCTGCACGCCGTACTCCTCGTACAGCCTCCTGCGCAGCACCCCGTCCAGGTACCAGCTCTGGTCGTGGATAGGGTCGTGGTCCGGAGGGTTCTCCTGGCCCTGCTCCTCACCCACCTACCACAGTCAAAGGATAAGAAGATATGGTAAATCATAGTAACATGGTATGGCATATAAGAGAGACAATGTCTACATCCAAAATGGCACCCTAATACCTATATAGTGAACTACTTTTCACCAGAGCCCTATGGGCCCAAATGTAGCACACCTATATAGGGAATAGGGTGCCATTTGAGACTGATTTTAATCGTGGGAACAGTAGAACTACAACAAAAAATCCCAGCAACCATTTGAGATTATTTCCTGAATTTTCCTGAAATAATGCATTGAAAGAAAATGAATGAGCATATTGACATTACAAGGAATGGGGTGACGGTGAACCCTGACCTTGCGGAGCAGCTCGCGGATCTTCTCGGCGTCCTTGGCGGCGTAGATGTGCCAGAGCGCCCCGGGCTTCTCCTTGGCTTCGTACACCCTCCTCTTGGTCATCTCATCTACGTCACCCTCCTCGATGGTGCTCATCACCTCTGCAGGACCACACACAGAGAGAGACAGGGATGAGAAAACACCAGCACCGGTCAGTCACTGATAGAGTTCATGTTCAAAGGGCATGATGTAGGAAAGAAGAAGTACAACACTAAACATCACAAAGCACAGAAGTACCGCACACCTTCACATCCTACAGTTGTAGACACAGAAGGGAAAACACTACACTACAATCCTTCTAATCTGGAGAAGTGCTCATTCACTATGTCAGAATCATAAGGCTCCATCTCAAACGACACCCTTTACCTATTCCTCTATGTAGTACACCATCTTCTGACCATAACATTGTGGTCCTGGTCAAAAGTGGTGCACTATAGGAGGAATAGGGTGTGATTTGAGACAAAAGCCTAGGTGAAGTGCTGATTCATCATTAGTCATCCACAATCAGAGGGACGCTGGGCTGGCAGGGGGGAAATGGACTCTCCCTGCTATGACATCATTGTTGGCCGGTGGCAGCTATGGGTTCGACCACAACACAGAGGTTATGTTCCAAATGGCACCCTATTCCTTATGTAATGCACTACTTTCGTCAAAATGGGTGCCATTTGTAACGTATTCAGAGTTGCTCATCAATTACTAATCAAATAAACATTTAGGTGGCTAGTGAGGAGTGGGACTAAACAACTACACCACACTAACGGAGCTACATGTATTATTCACACTCCGGTCACTTGGACAAATTATCCACAGAATGCCATAGATCAAGTTGCCTGCATGTGTGTGGGAGAGATTGTGTGTGTGTGTGCTCATTTTCTCTGACTTTCATCTCAGTTAGGCATCGAGTCCAGTACAGCTACATATGCTTCAGATGCTTGCTTGTCACGGTAATCTGTGTTCATTTTGATTATCTCTCCCCCGCATCTCTCCTCTAGGAAGAGAAATCAGTCAGGGGGGGGAATGTGACTCCAAAGATGGTCAGCTAGCAAGCTACTGCTCTGTTCTCTCCTTGAGTCAGTGAACCTGTGAGGGGATACAGACAGACAGTACCTACACCTTACATTTTAGTCATTTAGCAGACGCTCTTATCCAGAGCGACTTACAGTTAGTGAGTGCATACATTTTCATACTGGACCCCCGTGGGAAACGAACCCACAACCCTGGCGTTGCAAGCGCCATGCTCTACCAACTGAGCTACAGGGACCTTCATACATCTAGCCCTCCCCAAGAGTCAAGGCCAAACACCAGTCGTCCCAGATAACAGAAGATGCAATACAAGGAAAGAATCACTAGCATCTAACAGCATGAAAAGAAAAACAATGTTTTTGTGTTAAAAGGTTTTAAAACAGAGTTTGACTGACTATCAGAGGGTTACTGAAGGTCAGGTCTACACTGGAGGGAAGACCGCAGGCAGACCCCACTCAGACCACAAATAAACCACAAACAGACGGATGAGCCACCGTAGTGTTCTGGCCCCAACCGCACAGGGAGAGGACATGAGGATAGGGGGAGTGGAAGAGGAGTGGAGGAGAGAGAAGGGCGAAGTTAGTCAAGAAGAAAGGCATGCTAAGGAGGTGATAACGTTATAAAAATGCACAGACCTTTACATCCAGCGATATCAGTCTCTGTGAACGAGAAATTGTACCACAATCAACATGTGAGACCCATTAAAGGGCCTTTCCAGGGTTCTGTCCATTGATGCATGGGGGGGGGGGGGGGTAGCCTCGCTGGGCTTGTTTCACCAGAGTAGGATAGAAAACAGCATTTACCTTTTTTAAATGTGTCTCTCTTTTATGGCTACTAAGGTGCAGGTGCCTTAATATGTGTATGTCATCTATCCTTGTCTTGTCCTTGTAATCATTGATGATGCTAGAGGTGATAAAACAATGTCCCATGTTGGGATAAATAAAGCTATACTCTAGTCAGAGGCCTCTAGTAATATAGACCAGGGTGGGAAACCTGGGGAAGGCTACAGGAATGACTGAAGACAGGCTTAAATTGAAAATGTAGACCATTATTCTGTCTCAATGCTGAGGAATGGCTTCCTGTCCTTAGTCTCCAGAAATTGGAAATGCTGAATGGGACAGTAGAGGGTATTTGATCTTTGTGTGAACCTATGGACTTTCCTATAGAAAACTTTGGAGCGCCTCTCAAATCCAATTATATATGAGTGGGTGATTTCGGAGCCCATGTGGTTGTAAGTCGCTCTGGATAAGAGCGTCTGCTAAATGACTTAAATGTAAATGTTGTAACAGTTAACATATTTTTGGAAGATTTTGCGAAACCAGGGTTTCCCAATCTCTGTCCTCGGGACCCCAAGGGGTGCACGTTTTGGTTTTTGCCCTAGCACTACACAGCCGTTTTAAATAATCATCGAGCTTTGATAATATAAATCAACTATGTAGTGCATTCAACTGCGACCCAAACTGGCCATTGTTTATTTTTTTTATATGCCCTTTTATAATGTCCATAGGATGCTGTATATAACATGTTAACATAAATAAAACTAAAGATAAATATTATTTGTCCAGCCTTCGCTGCTATGCTTGCAGATATGCATAATATGCTGCGACCCTAATCAAAAAGTACTACAAAACGACTAATAAAGTAAGTAGGTTCACTAGGTTGTTGTAACATTTAAACTTAAAACATGTTTTACATTTTTCGCGCCGCATGGATCACCGGTGCAGTTGAATGCAGCATTGCTGTATGGTGCGCTCAAAATGTATTGCAGTTGAGTAGCCAGCCTAGGCTACTGCTGAAATGTTGCTGTAACAGACCTACATGTTTCCCCTTCGCATGGTGTTTTGTTGCAAGTTTTTTGGTTATTCATTGTCAAGCTTTAAAAAACAAAGCCAGACTACAACATTTTAGTAGCCTAGGACTTGTGGCATGTGTCTGTTCACTTTCCCTCTGCTACACGCTATAAATGAGACACGTACGCAGCGCAATTGACGTTGAATACACTGATGTGAGCGCATCAGGCTGTGTAATTTCATAGAGTAGATGACTCAACTGTTGATTCATTTATAGGCCTAGTGTCCTTTAGTACTAATTTATATTAGCATATAAATCATTTCACTTTTTACATTTTAGTCATTTAGCAGACGCTCTTATCCAGAGCGACTTACAGTTAGTGAGTGCATACATTTTCAAACTTTGGACAACAAATATGACATTTCCTGTAGTACAGCAATGACCCGTTCGACCGAAACTTGGCATCAACATTAACTCCAACATGTTTTAACTTTCGAGCCAGTAGAAGATTCGGTCAGTGCCATTAACGAAAACAGTCGGGCTGCTGCAAATGTTTAGTGATAATATGATACAGCGCACTGGCTGGCTCGTGGGTGGGTGGGTGTGGCAACGCACTGCCTTTGGCGCACAGGACGTTGGCAGTGCTTGCTGGGACTGTATGGAAGCGGGCCAAAATGAATTGACAACCCAAATCATTGCGCGTGCCGGATAGAATGTGTCATTGGCCTTGTGTTTGACACGTGGTTGAGTGTGACGTACGTCAATGCTGGAATGAGTCAGCTGTGCGAGTCAGTGTTGCTGTGAGTGTGTATTAAGTTCTGCTTCACAGTGCGAGTGTGTTGGTCCTACTCACCCTTGACGTGGTCTCCCTCTCCCTCGGGGATGCCCACGTACACCATGACGTTGACGGCATCAGACACATCCAGATGCAGGTTGGTGGTGCCAACACTCCGGTCTTCTGTCTCGATCAGACCTGAGAGTGGGAGGGACGGAGGGGGGAGAGAGATGGAAGGTGTAATAGAAGGAAGCATGGAGAGCGAAGAGGTGTAAAAAGAGAATGTAAAAGGAGGAAATAAAAACTGATCAGAGACTGACATCCCTTTAAAGAGTAAATAGTCTCATTACTAATCTCGCATATTCTCCATCTCTGCTCTCTCTCACCGTAGGCATTGTACATCTTAGGCCCCAGGTCTGGCCTGACAAAGAAGTTGGGCAGACGGGAGGCCAGGTTCAGACGGCCGTCTCGCTTAGTGTACTCTGGGAGGGGGAGGTTGTCCATCAGATCATCAAACCGTGTAGGCATCATGTCTCTGAAGTCTTCTCCAGGAGGCCAGTCCTTCAGCTTCAGAACCATGGGCTGGCCATCACTACCCTTCAGACGCTCTGAAGAGAGAGAGATAAGGATAGATGAATGAATGAACAAATAAAAGAGTGGATGAATGAATAAATGATCCCATTACTTACTGGAGATGACCTGGAAGCCGTCCCAAAAGTCACGGACCTTGAAGTCAGAAATGATGGCACAGTTCCGACAGTTGACCAGGTCAACATCCTGGTCCCCAAACTCCTCACTGAAGGCCTCAGGCCGCCACAAAGTCCCCTTCAGACGCTTATGGATACCAGACACTAGGACCGGCTGGAGAGACGGGGAGGGAAAGAATTCAAACAGAATCATCATCACCTTATCTCTCACAGTACACATCTCCCTCTTCCAAACTTCATCCCCAACTACTCTCCCACTCCATTTCCCTCTTTCACACCACCATATTACTATATATTACTCACACCGCCATATTACTACTCTCGGTGAGCACAAAATGTTAAAAATACATATTTTTAAAGTATTTTCTCATAGGGATATCGCCTTTCTACCCCACAGAGAGATCTCTCTCACCTGGCCCTGTTTCCAGCACTCTCTGAAGATCTTCCAGTTGTTGGTGTTGGAGGGATCCTGCAGGCAGAGCAGGCGTCCGTCACAGAGCCAGGAGTGGGAGGTGTGGGGGTCCAGCACGCTGAGGCCCATCACCCCGTCCCTGCGGCCCACCCCGCCCAGCTCGCTGCCCCCCTCGCCCGTACGCCGGCCCTCCGCCTTCTTGGTCTCCACCACCGAGGCAATGATATGGTCCAGGAAGTTAGGCAGGCTGCCCTTCATCTTGTCCCCCTGAGACAGGGAGGAGGGGTTAGACATGCAGTCTAGGGCCCTAGAGCTCCCATAGGGCTCTGATCAAAAGCAGTGCACTATATAGGGAATAGGGTGCCATTTGGGAAACAACCTAGAACTGTGTGTAGAATCTAAGAATTCTGGAATGGTCCACTGTAATGTCCCTATTTCTCTAGGCATTATGGAAGGATCCATATCTGGGCATTCTGTGACATTCTAGATTTGTGGAAAGCTGAAAGACACTCACGGCAGCTGAGGTGGAGAAGACTGAGGGGAAGGGTATTCCAGTGTCTCCGGGGGCCTGGGGGAGCCTCCCGGGGCCAGAGTTGAGCAGGTCTCGGAGGCTGGAGCCCTCTGGTTTGGGCTGGGTGTTGCTGGAGCCCAGCAGCAGGCTGTTGAACAGCTTAGGACTAGAGGAGGAAGAGGAGGAGGATGAAGGCTTGGACAGGGCGTTGAACGAGTCAAGGCCGAAGGGAGAACGTGTGTCCTGGCCCATCACCGAGCGCAGCGACCCAGAGTCTAGAGGGGTGTAGATGAGAAGAGACAAGGGAAGATGATGGTTAGAGATGTTCTAATCCAAACACATGTACAATACATTTAGAGAGTATCATCGAGAATATGAGTTAGGATTGAGATAAGATGAAGTGAAAGAGATGCTATTCTCCTGGCCCTCTCACCTTTAGTCTCCTCCACCTTGGCTTTCTGAGTGGCCAGGTCTGCCAGCCAGTGCAGGGCGGTGGAGTTGCCCTCACCCGTGGAGGGGCGGGGGTCCTTGGGGGTGGCGGTCTGGGCAGAGTTAGGGGGGGCACTGGTACTGTTGGTGGAGATAGTATCAACCCCTCCTCCTCCCGCCTCGGATGACGTTGTGCTGGATGTAGACTCCGTTTTGACCACTGTCGTCTCCCCCCCCTCTGGTTTAGGAGTGGTTGAACCCGCTGGACCCCCCACCACCTGTAATTGGTCCACTACCACTGCTCCCCATGCTGGAGGACACTGCAGACTGCTGGGACAGCAATAAGGAACATCATACTGCATTCTAATCAAGCCCTTGACAACCAATATGTAAAACAAGTCAAAAGCATACGTGGATGGTAAAAAAATTAATATTGATCTTCTACATCTTGGTACGACATAAAAGAAAAGGGGGGGTGCAGTACCTGTGATATGCCGTTGGGGGCGCTAGGGCGCAGTAGGGGCCTGTGGTGCCGGCTGGTGCAGGGGCAGTTTGCCTTGATGCCCCATTTTCCCCGGGCTGAGTGCACCATATCCCCTATGTTATAGAGAGCTGAGGGAGAGAGAGAAAAGTCAATATGGGAGAACTCTTATGGAGATACAAGACATACTAATTGGATGTTATAGTTTGGGCTGGGAGTTTGTCCGGACCATGTGACATGAGCAGGAAAGACTACAGGCCCCAGTTCTAGGCCCAATCCTATATGCCCTATGATCTGAGAGGATTTGGTTGGTATAAGGAATATGGTTAAACTTCCACTGAGCCTATTAGAGAGCAAGGTGGAGCTATTCCCATATTGTTAACAACAGTAAAATCCTCTCAGATATCCACAAGTGCTTAGGGGTCTATTTGGGCACTAGGCTTCTATAGGTATCCTGCTCCGTGTTACCTGTTCCAGGTATGATCTGTGTGGGCATGAGGCTCTGGGGCTCGTGTCTCTGTCCTTTGACACACTTCAACCAGGAGAACACCTCGTCATCAGGCCCCTCGTCCACCTCTGAGAGATAAAACAAGAAGGGTCATTTAGAAAAGGGCCACTGCACTGCAGCTGACCCCTTGCATCCAGCCCCTCTGGGTATACGCATGTCTTGGGGGGGGTTGGGTTGTTCATAAATAGAAAATGTTAATGTACAATAAAGTACATCTTATACCGATCCTTTCTTAACAAGCAGCAGCTAAATCTTTCCTACTTCAAAAAACAATCATCACTGAAAGACCACTACAGGCTAACACTGCAGGTGAACTGGACAATAACAGGGCCCCCTCAGTGTTACCCCAGCCCGTCCCTGTGTGTTGAGACTAAGGTTGCAAAATTCCGGTAACTTTCCCAACATTCCCCGGGATTTCAGAAATCCTGGTTGGAAGATTCCTGAAATTGCAAGGGAATAATAAACAGGAAATCTGAGAATCCTCCCCTGGTTTTCCAAAAATCCTGGTTGAGGATTCTCAGATTTCCTGCTTATTCCCTTGTAATTCTATATGGAGTTCTATGACTCTCACCCTCCAGAGGGCGGTTCCTGCGTTGCCGGTAGCAGTCCAGACACACCCCGAAGCCACACTTCCTGCAGACCCAGTGGATGTTGAAGAGGGTGGTCTCACATACATCACACATCTCCCTGACGCCGCGCACCGCACGCTTCCATGCCACTTTCTCTGTAGGACACAGACAGATGGCCCCTGGTCAAAAGTATTGCACTATTAAGGGAACAGGGTGCCATTTTGGACGCAAACTAAGACTACTCACGGTGAGGCTCGACCATCATCATGGCCTCCTTCTCAGACATGACGAGCTGACAGAATTGGTCTCCCACGTTGGCCAGGATGTACTTGGAGGTGTCCAGGTCCAGGCCCTCCTGTACGGACGGCGAGGGAAGCCACAGCCCCATGGCCATGGCATCGCTCTGCTGGGGGCTCAGGAAGCCCTCGACACGCAGGACGCCCTTACGCGTGAACGCCAGCCTGGGTAGGAGGCAAAGGTAAGAGGTTGGAGGACAGAGGAGTGCAGGACGTATGTTTTAGATGAGAGTAGAACATGTTGGATTATAATTGAGGTTGATAAAATGACTGATATTTGTTATTGTCGCATTCCTTGTAAGAGGATACACACCACAGCATATTCCTCACACACACAGTGCTTGGACACACACAGTCTTTGGTACACACACACACACACACACACACACAAACGGTACCTGCGGAAGTGGAAGAAGCGGCAGGCCACGTTGGGGTCGTCGTCATCAGGCTCCTGCTCCCGGTACTTCCTGTAGCGCTCCATGCGACACTCGCGACACTTGTGGAGGTGGGGCGCCACGTTGATACAGGAGCCATCCTGCAGGAACGACTCTCCTGACTGCTTCAGACGGCGCACCTTAGTCACGTCCTTCAGCACTGACTGGCCCACTGGAGAAAAAGGAAGGACCGAAGAGTTAATTCGAATATGAAGCGATACAAAACAATGCAATGACAACCTATTCATCAAAGAGTGTAGGAAAGGGTAATGGAATCATAAGGGAAGAGTTGGTCAGCAACTTTTCTTTACCATCAATCTTGTTAACTTCTCATGACCCAGACCACAATCTAACTTGCCTCGACATTGACGAATGACATGCTACAAATGATTAATGAATGCATTGATGTACTGTAGGAATACTTCTATTATCAGAGCCCTATCCTGAGGCTCCAGGTCTTACCTTTGAAGGGCTTGTTGCGTGGCCTGCTCTTGGCCACCCCGGGGCCTTTACCCTTCTGCATCAGCATGGCTCCCTCCTTGACGGGCCCCGGGAGGCCCCCAGGGGCCTGCCCTCTCTCCAACCCCTCCTCAGTCTCACTCAGGTCTGACAGGTCGCTGTTATCACTGGAGTCAGAGTCCCGTTTAGACGCCTGGCCTCGCTCCTCCAGGGCAAACTTCTGGGCCTGGCCCTGGTCAAATGGCATGGGCGCGTCCTCACCACTCCCCCCAGGGACGGCGCTCCCAAACACCGGGAAGCCCGAGGTGGAGCTGGGCCGGTCATCCAGAGAACCACCCTCAGCTGAGGAGCCCTGTTCCCCTGTGGAGGCGCCCTCCTTGGGCTTGGAGGGGGCATCAGACTGGGGCCTCTGTGTGAAGGCAGGTACCGGGGAGGAAGAACTGGAGGCAGCGGAGCCTGAGAGGGAGGCAAAGGGGGAAGACAGGATGCCCTTGGGCGGCTCTGCCATTGTGAATAGATTGGGTTTGCTCTCCGAGGCAGGGCCCAGGGTCTCAGGCTCCAGAGGGGATGGTTTGCCGCTAAAGGGGCTGTGGGAGAGCTTCTCCCCATAGGCCAGGAAGGGGTTGGAGGGCTCCTTGGAGCCCTGGAGGAACAGGTTCTGGTGGCTGTCTGTCTTGGTGCCGAAGCCACCCACCACGCCACCGTTAGTGCCACTCCTGTTGTTAGCGCCACTCAGAGCTCCAGAGGCCGGAGCCAGGGGGGTGCCAATCGCCCCCATTCCCAGAACAGAGTTCCTCATCCCCCCAGAGCCGCTGCTGAAGGAAGGCGAGAGTTGGTCCCCTCCGAAAGGCTTGTTGAGCACTCCGTTGCCTGCCGGCTGGGTCTCAGGCACTTTAGACTGCTCTTTGAGATGAGCTGTAGCCGAGCCAAACAGGCCAGCTGACGCGGGGGCCAGAACAGTCTTTTTGAGTCCCTCTGTGGAGGCGGAGGGCTTGAACAGGCTAGGAGGCTCCTTAGTCAAGCTCTCTGACACTGCTGTGAAGTAGTTGGCGTCTTTAGCCTGGCTCTGACCTAGGCCTGGACTCTGGTTCTGATTAGGACCACCAGGATCCTGGCCAGTCTTCTGACTCATACACTGGAAGAATAAGTTCTGGTCTTGCTGCTGCGGTTGGGCCTCGTTGTTCTTGGCGCCTCTGAAGGCAAAGCCGAAGGGTCTGGAGGTGTCCTGGGAGGCTGACGCTGTGTTGGAGGAACCGTTGGTCTGGGAGCTTACCTCTCCGAACACAGAAGCACCAGCAGGCTTGGACTGGGGCAGCCGGAACCCAGCCGCAGCCAGGATGGGCTTAGAGCCCTAAAGGAACAGGATAAGGAAATAGCATATTAGTGACAGAACACTTATGGTTAGTAGTTACTAAGTAATTACAGTGTTACTACACAGTTTAAAAGCAAAGTCATGTTAAATGTTACTAACTCACCTCCGTCTGGTTGGGTGGTCCTGTCCAGGCGGTGGGTTTGGGGCTGAATCCCAGGGTGGCAGAGAGGGCCACGCTGGGGGCACTGCCCTGCGATGGGGACGAGATGGTCACCGGGCCGGGGGACACCAGGGCAGCCGTCTTGGGGTAGGTAGACTGAGATGGCTCCTCGCTCTCTAGGGTTGGGGGTGCTGGGGAAGGCTTGGCGGCCGGAGCTCCAGGGACAAGGCTGGGCATCTGGCCCAGAGAGGGGAAGGAGGTGTTGGAGAATGGGGAGGGGGCCGGTTTGAGGGGGGGTGGGGTGGGGGTGACTGTAGAGGTGGAGTCGGCAGACCCCTGTCTGTCCTGTGTGCGTCCGTTCTCCTTAGGGTACCGCGGCGGAGCGTTCATTTGGTCCATTTGGGAGGAAATGCTTTTCGGGGTGGCGTGACCTTCTGTGACTTCAGAGGAACTGCCATTATTGTTGGTAGTGCTGTTCACTCTGCTTCCTCCGTCTTCGCCTCCAGTTGTTACCTCTGCTCCCCACGTCACCATCCCCTTGGTGGAGCCGCTTCCGTTCTGTCCCTCCGCTGCTCCCTCTCCCGCCCCCTTAAAACGCTTCAGAGTCACGTCCTCCTCGCCTTCCGAGGCTGTCCTCCGTCTACGGCCGCTCTCGCCCTTCCCTCCATCGCTCTCCTTCCTCCGCCGAGCATTCTTGCCGTTCTGACCGAGGAGAGGAAGGAGCAATGTAAAAATGATTAGAGGAAAATGCAAACTCAAACAAGTCAACCAACAAACGCATAAGTATTTTGAAAACAAAAGCAAGAAGGGAGGAATAGGACAGTATACTTTATCCAACTGACCTCATCAAAGTGATCTTCAGCTAGCATCACGTGCATTACCCGTGGATCCACCACCTGGGTCTCCTCTCCCTAGAACACAATAATAACTTAACAACTATCAACACCTCCGCCATATTACGTAACATCCAAAGGTACTACGAAAAGCACATCCAGGCAGTGTGTGTGTGTGTGTACCTGGTCCATGGTGATCTCCATGATGTGTGAGTTGGGGTCGTGCCGAGAGACCAGGCCCAGGGCCCAGTGCTCGTCAAACTCACACTGGTAAACCTGAACCCTCCTGCCCTGGATGGTGTAGGAGCCTGGAGAGAGACACACAACGCAACCAGCAGGACAAAGCTCAAAGACCCGTAGAGTGGTTTGCCAGAAGGATATTATGGAGGGATTGAAAAGTGAGAAGAGAGGACGGTATTGTGGAGAAAAGAGGAGAAGAAGTAGAGGTTTGAGGAGTAGATGCTAGAAAAAGCCTGTATTGAGAACTGCAGTGTAGGAATACATGGGTGAGCAATGAAAGGCAGGAGGAAAGTCAAAGCGCACAGGACACAGTTCATAGTACAATAGGTTTCCATTCATTCCAGAGATAATAGTCTAACAAAGACAAACCCTTCCTGAGGATCTCCTGCAGCTCAAAGTCACTGTGCCAGCTGGACACTGCAGCTTGCAGAGAGGGCTGCTCCAGCAGGAGAGAGTGCCTCACGTCTTTCTCTACCTACAGAGTGAGACAAAACACACAGACAGTCACAGAGTGATACCACACACACACACACTTCAAACGAAAGTTGACACACACGACATTGAGTAAACCCACCTCAAATCTCTGGAGTGAATTCCCGTCAGGGAGGATGCTGAGGGTTCTGTTCCCGAAGAACTCCACAGGGACCAAGGAACCCAGACCCACACGGTCCACTAGAGACCGGAACGTCTAGCGGAGGAAGAGGAACATCGTTAGGAAAAGAACCACTAACTCTAAAGGCTGAATGATATTATGTAGGCTAACATTCCCATCTGTTAATTGGTGGAGTGGCTGGATAATTATCTCTAATTTTATCATCTGGCAAAGCATGAGGGAGCACGTTGAGCTGTTTTTCGATTGAGAGGAGCAGCTGGTTGATTAGTGAGTGCATCTTATGTAATGCTAACAGCACCTCCAGACATCCCTTGCTGGGACAATTGCATTTCCACAAGCTGGCCTGGCCTCACTTCAAGGTGCAGGTGTGCCTCAGGGAGCCAGCCAGGGAGTGTGAGAGGAGAGTGCATGCATCATACATGCACCCTCTGAACTAACCTTAAATGGAGTGTAGCACCCATTTCTCAATGCCAGAAACGCATATAATAAAAACTAAGAGCACCCCAAGAAAACATTCCCAAATTACAAATTCTTAAATCAAATGCTTGTAATATTATGTTGTTCTAAAGGTTGGGTTTGAGGTTGTCCAAATCAGCTCTGACTTCGGAAACAATCCCACTTCGGAACCAATTAGTTAATATACAGCACCAACTACATAAATATCTGTTATGGTCCATTATCTGCTACCAGGACTTTAACCCTGTTTTACAGCCCATGACCCAATACCCTCCCCCAGCAGATGTGTATGTAGGTGACCTCCCATCATGCTGTTGGCAACTGGCTCAGTGGTTTTCAAACCTCTCCTCGGGGGGAACCCCAGCCGTTCCATGTATTTTAACTATCCCAGAGATGGCACACCTGATTCAACATGTCAACAAATCATCAAGTCCTTCAATTGATAAATCAGGTGAGGTAGTTCAGGGCTACAACAAAAGTGTGAAACTTCTGCAGGGTCTGAGAGGAGAGGTTTGAAAACCACTGGCTTAGCTCATAGTGTTATGGTAAAAACATTATTTGGTCAACCCTAAGCCAGAGGGGGTGGCTACTCACCAGGGCAGGCCAGGCTGTACCAGTGGCTCCCCCAGCTGCAGGGTGGTTCTGGTTGGGGTTGCTGCTGCGGTTAGCCCAGACGATGGAGGACTCGACCAGTACAGCTCTCACCTCCTCCCCGTAAACCTGTACCCAGGACCGCCTGCGCCATGCACAGTCCTCAAACTCCACAAACACCTAAACGACGGGGGAAGAGAATGGAGGGGAAAGATGGTGGGAGAGTGCTGCCATTTCTGTTAGACTAGCTATACTAACAGGCTCGGTGACATGTTAGGAGTATATTTTCAAAAGAGCAGAGGTAAGACAAACACTGACAACAATGGGCTGATGGGAGAAGAGAAGCCACGGACAGGCTACAGACAGTCAGCAGGACAGGCCTTGGTAGGATCATACACAGTCAGCAGAGCCCGGGCAGCACTAGTGACTCAAACACAGCATGTCTACTCCCCCAAGTCTGGGCAAGGTCATCTCACTCAGGAAGAGCAGTCAATCATTAGAAATAGGCAAGTCAATTCAAACCCAGTCTCACTTTCTCATTTGACCCTCATCGTCAATAAGTAGCCTAGTGCAACATTATTGATAAGAGAGGATTACAGTGAGTATGGTTAAATGCACACAATGCGATTATTGTGAATAGTCCAACGTTTACATGCTTTGCAAGAAGAACAATCTCCCCTAATAATCCTGTTTACATGGACACATCTGAAATCAAATCAAAGTGTATTGGTCGTGTATAGCTGTGCAGCGAAATGCCTATGTTACTAGCTCCTAACAATGCAGTCAAAAGTCAAACAATTAAATTGTAAAGAAAAGAAGAAAAAAAAGCAAGTAATCAAGAATGGTGGCAGGAATCCAATTAACAACCCAAATAGCACTGTAGCAGTATAAAAACGCAATAATGACAAAGCAAAAACAGGGGTTTATCACAGTGCCTTTGGAAAGTATTCAGACCCCTTGACTTTTTCCACATTGTTACGTGTCCAGCCTTATTCTAAAATGGATGGAATTGTTTTTTCATCAATCTACACACAATACCCCAATGACAAAAGCAAAAAAATGGGTGTAGAAATGTTTGCAAATGTGTATATATATATTTTTTAAAAATGAAATATCACATTTATATAAGTATTCAGACCTTGTACTTTGAAGCACCTTTGGCAGCGATTACAGCCTTGAGTCTTCTTGGGTATGACGATACAAGCTTGGCACACCTGTATTTGGGGAGTTCCTCCCATTCTTCTCTGCAGATCCTCTCAAGCTCTGTCAGGTTGGATGGGGAGCGCTGCTGCACAGCTATTTTCAGGTCTCTCCAGAGATGTTCAATCGGGTTCACGTCCAGGCTTTGGCTGGGCCACTTAAGGACGTTCAGAGACTTGTCCCGAAGCCACTCCTTCATTGTCTTGGCTGTGTGCTTAGGGTCGTTGTCCTGTTAGAAGGTGAACCTTCGCCCCAGTCTAAGGTCCTGAGCACTCTGGAGCAGGTTTTCATCAAGGATCTCTGTACTTTGCTCCGTTCATCTTACTCTCGATCCTGACAAGTCTCCCAGTCCCTGCCGCTGAAAAACATCCCCACAGCATGATGCTGCAACCACCATGCTTCACAGTAGGGATGGTGCCAGGTTTCCTCCCGACGTGACGCTTGGCATTCAGGCCAAACAGTTCAATCTACACTGCTCAAAAAAATAAAGGGAACACTTAAACAACACAATGTAACTCCAAGTCAATCACACTTCTGTGAAATCAAACTGTCCACTTAGGAAGCAACACTGATTGACAATAAATTTCACATGCTGTTGTGCAAATGGAATAGACAACAGGTGGAAATTATAGGCAATTAGCAAGACACCCCCAATAAAGAAGAGGTTCTGCAGGTGGTGGCCACAGACCACTTCTCCGTTCCTATGCTTCCTGGCTGATGTTTTGGTCCCTTTTGAATGCTGGCGGTGCTTTCACTCTAGTGGTAGCATGAGACGGAGTCTACAACCCACACAAGTGGCTCAGGTAGTGCAGCTCATCCAGGATGGCACATCAATGCGAGCTGTGGCAAGAAGGTTTGCTGTGTCTGTCAGCGTAGAGTCCAGAGCATGGAGGCGCTACCAGGAGACAGGCCAGTACATCAGGAGACGTGGAGGAGGCCGTAGGTGGGCAACAACCCAGCAGCAGGACCGCTACCTCCGCCTTTGTGCAAGGAGGAGCACTGCCAGAGCCCTGCAAAATGACCTCCAGCAGGCCACAAATGTGCATGTGTCTGCTCAAACGGTCAGAAACAGACTCCATGAGGGTCGTATGAGGGCCCGACGTCCACAGGTGGGGGTTGTGCTTACAGCCCAACACCGTGCAGGACGTTTGGCATTTGCCAGAGAACACCAAGATTGGCAAATTCGCCACTGGCGCCCTGTGCTCTTCACAGATGAAAGTAGGTTCACACTGAGCACATGTGACAGATGTGACAGAGTCTGGAGACGCCGTGGAGAACGTTCTGCTGCCTGCAACATCCTCCAGCATGACCGGTTTGGCGGTGGGTCAGTCATGGTGTGGGGTGGCATTTCTTTGGGGGGGCCGCACAGCCCTCCATGTGCTCACCAGAGGTAGCCTGACTGCCATTAGGTACCGAGATGAGATCCTCAGACCCCTTGTGAGACCATATGCTGGTGCGGTTGACCCTGGGTTCCTCCTAATGCAAGACAATGCTAGACCTCATGTGGCTGGAGTGTGTCAGCAGTTCCTGCAAGAGGAAGGCATTGATGCTATGGACTGGCCCGCCCGTTCCCCAGACCTGAATCCAATTGAGCACATCATGTCTCGCTCCATCCACCAACGCCACGTTGCACCACAGACTGTCCAGGAGTTGGCGGATGCTTTAGTCCAGGTCTGGGAGGAGATCCCTCAGGAGACCATCCGCCATCTCATCAGGAGCATGCCCAGGCGTTGTAGGGAGGTCATACAGGCATGTGGAGGCCACACACACTACTGAGCCTCATTTTGACTTGTTTTAAGGACATTACATCAAAGTTGGATCAGCCTGTAGTGTGGTTTTCCACTTTAATTTTGAGGGTGGCTCCAAATCCAGACCTCCATGGGTTGATACATTTGATTTCCATTGATAATTTGTGTGTGATTTTGTTGTCAGCACATTCAACTATGTAAAGAAAAAAGTATTTAACAAGATTATTTCATTCATTCAGATCTAGGATGTGTTGTTTAAGTGTTCCCTTTATTTTTTTGAGCAGTGTAGGTTTCAACAGACCAGAGAATCTTGTCGTTTAGTTGCCTTTTGGCAAACTCCAAGCGGGCCTAAGACCAAAAATGTCACAAAATGTCTGCATAATATATGCACAAACTGTTCTGGATGGGAAGCATGCCAAATTTCTTCAGCCATTTGAGGTTGTAGAGGCTCTGTTGCACATTCTTCACCACGATGTTGGTGTGGCGAGACCATTTCATGTCCTGAGTGATGTGCATGCTGAGTAACTTGAAGCTTTTGACCCTATCCACTGCGACCATGGTCGATGAGGATGGGGGCGTGCTCCCTCCGTCTCCTGTTGTCCACAATAAGCTCCTTCGTTTTGTTGACATTGAGGGAGAGGTTATCAGGCTACTTGATGGGACTTTGATAAATGCAGACAATCGCCATCCAAATAAACGTTCTACCACAGACCATGTTATTTTTGTGAAACCTATTCGATTCTGAGTTCAAAAACAAACTATTTCTAAATTAAATACTTTGAGTTTATCCGAACTGCAAAAGAAGGAAGCTCGCGCTGCTCGTGCTAGCACATGTGCAGATCAAATACACCACTGTAACTCTGATTAAGGCATTTACATGCCCTAATAATTCTAAAGATTGCGGAGAACAGCAGGTGTTTTAATCAGTGTATGCTTACTTCGATTATTACCTTAGTACACCGATTAAGATAAGTAGAGCAAGGTGTTTACATGACTAATGCCATACTCGGCCTCCAGCCATAATCAGTTTAATATTGAATTATTAGTATGCATGTAAACCTACTCAGTGTGACAATGGATTGTATTTATATGGGCTAATGCTCTACTCTAGGTCTCAAGGCAGGGGCAAGATATATTTGTCAGCAGAAGTCCATTTTAAATGTGAAACTTGCTGACTCACTCTGCATACAAGCCCAACTTGTACAGCCTTGTGAATTTGAACTGTGTGGTTCTGTGAGACGTGGAACAAGTGCTGTGATTTGAAGAATGCCCTCCTACCAAGACCTGATAACCTGCACAGAAGACATTGCATATAGACATTATGATGATCAACACAGTCCATGCAAACTCAAAAACATACAGACATATTTACAGACAGTAACATATCCCCTCCCAACAGAAACAAGAACAGGAGCGGAGAGCACTGAGTGGTGTCTGTAGTTACTATCTGCACTAGTTAAAATGATTATTTCCCAAGAATGGTCCTGGAGACTTCCTTGAAAGCTGACTAATCTGGATAAGCTACTCCAGCCAACACCTGTCCCTTTCTAAAATCTGGATTTGGCAATTGCTTTGGTACAAACAAGACACCTGACATTATTTATCCTGTAATTCTAGTTCTGGATGTTGGCCTGCCTTGTAATCATATGCTGTATCATCAAGTCAGACAGCATTTTCAGACGTATTTATATTCTCAACTGCAGCATCTTCTAGCTACAACCTCCACATTAATCAATGAAATGATATGAACACATAATAAGGGGTCATGCATGTAGGAAAAATGACTGAAGAATGAAAAATATGCACTTGATACCATGACGTTGAAGATAATACACGCGTCAACAAATTACACCTAACTATGTAGGCCTAACTGTATCGCCAAACAATATCTACGTTCAGTTATTTGAGGCAAGCAAATCTTCTACACTGACGTTCACATTTTAATGAGGCTATATCTATTTCACATTAATTTAATTCTGGAGACTACGCTAAAGTTGGCTAGCTAGCTAACTAGTTAACAAAATCTGTCGAAGGCCCAAAATCCTCGGGCTAAATTATGAGGACAGCTGTTATCTGGAAAGCGCAACACAGCGGCCTCATTGGCTAGCTTTCGCTATTCATAATGTGTTATTTAGATAATATCAGTTAAGCATAAACAACGGGCCATTAATTATTTGTATCCTTTGACTTTTCAGTTTCGATAAATACGTAGCTAGCTAGTTAGTCAGGCGATTAGCTTCTTAGCTAGCTAACGTTAGTTGTTTTTATTCACATGTAAACACTGACCGTCAGCCCCGCAGCTGCTGTTGTTGTTGTCGCCTCTCCTCCGCTCACCTCTACCCCTGGGCTGGCCAAACCTATGACGCTGACCGCCCGGACGGTCCCCCGGAGCCAGTCACGAGTCCAGGTGGCCTGTTCCGCTTCGGGTCCGGCTGCAGACCTGCCATCGTTGAGGAGCAGTAGAATTCGCTTCCCAATCAGTTCAAGAGAGTCTCCCATATTTAGCTAGCCACTGTGAATTGAAGGAGCAACTTCCTTCGCTTGTATTTCTGTTGGGGAACTCCGATGCACTTAGCTAACGTTAGCTAGCTAGCCAGCCAGTTAGCCAGGTTAAATCGGCCTAAAAGAAGTGACAGATTTCAACCTCAACTACCGCAACTTTGCTGCATGCACCGGGGTCCCCTCTTCCGTAGGATCCACGGGAAAATACGGCGGACCAAGTCACGCCACAAATAGAGAAGTACCGAGATATTATTGTCCGCAAAGCCGCTATCCCGCTCTATCCGCCATTGAGGCTTGCAATTGCAACAATCAAACACACTCCTCCTCGTACTAGCTACTAGGCTCCACTGCGGAGATAGCTAGCGAGCGTGTGAATTGCAACAGCGACTTATACTGGCTCATCCGTGTACTACACAGAACCCGTTCAATCGGGAATGCCAAATAACAGTCTGGATATCTCGAAAAAATACAGTTGGCCTAAAAGGAAATCCTACTTTTTGTTGTTGTTGCGCAAAACTACTTTTGCTCGTACATAACATACATGTTTTATACTCAGCACAAAGCAGATAAACACAGCATTTAGTAGCAGTAGCTAATTCGTCCCCATATGCTCTCCCACAAACGGTATCTAACAATTTTGTTCACAGTCTTTTAATAATACCGGTTGGAGATTATATAACTTTGAAACGCTGTATTAATTCACTTAGCTGAATGGACCTTCAGTCTGTTGAAGTCATAATTTAGGGGCCCCATAAATCTGTTGGGCCACAACAAGCCATATAACTAGTTCTAATACTACCACGAAGCACCTCTTGTGTGCACTCTGGTAAAGCGTACATTTTCATCCTTCACCTTTTATATTTTATTACCCTGTCTTGTTTGACAGTAATTACTTTGCACACCTTGGCTCTTGCATTGCATTGATTGAGCTTGACTACTTTGATTGAAAAAAGATTGAGCTTGTCATCTACTCGCAAATTCATGTGTTCCTATGTTAACCACAAGATGGTGCCACAACATTTCAAAACACCATACAACAGCACAGCAGGATGGAGATAATAAAAGCAAGATATTATTGCAGAATTCAGGAATAGTTGCTTGAGAATTAATTATTGGACTATGAAGAGTGTTTATTATGTACAAGGTCTTTCAAACTTTTTCAAACGTTTTCAGCCAGCACTATTATCATCAATTATTGAGCTTTGAATAGTGCTACAGACTAGCGTCCTGTCCAGTGGGTGTACTTGTACATCATTCTGGCTTGGACAAGGCTTAGGCCTACTTACTTGAATAGTGCTACAAATGCATTTCTTTCATTCAACATGAAGATTGTAGTGATTTGCCCTCTTGTATTTCTGTTGATATGACATAGCCTTCACAGTATCAATGTCCATGTCGTTTAATTATATTTATGAGTGACTCCATGTCTTTATTTAGTAGCCAAAGGCCTTGGCCAGACCAATAAAGAGGTTTCATTATTGTTAAAATTACACTCTGGCATACAAGACACAAATAAATGAATGTCATCGTGGATTACTGGAACTCCTATTAGACATAATTCAAGGGCGTTCTTCAGTGTGACAGCAGTTTCACATTTGGACAAGGCCGTTGCATAACTAACATGTTAAGACTGTTCGGCTCCCTAGGCAGAAGCCAAATAACACAGAAGTTTCTATTTACAGAAAACACCTCCATATTTATTTATTTCATGAGTTACACAAGATACAACGATACAACAGAACATACAAAATATACAAAATATGTCCTACAAATTAAAAGAGAGAAAACAGATATAACTGTTCTTGTTTTTTTAAAACCTGTATCCCTTTTTCTTTTATAAAACCGCCTCGCTCCAAATTGTCGAGGGTACCGGGCTATAGTGAGCCATCATCAGCTGTGTCTTGTGAAAGGGGTATTTATAAATCTGTCTGTGTGGTTATGTTGAATGATGGCTGTGCACTGAGCTGAGCATCGTATAGGATTCCCATGTAAATCAATGCCCCAGTTTACACAAAGTAAGAGTGTATTATTTATGTACAAGGGCATGTGTGTGTGTGCAAGTGAAGATACTCTACATAGTTGTCTGTCTCTCATGTCCACTGATAATGTCATTGTGCTCTTTTGTAATATGGGTGCTTGTCATCAGTCAACAACAGTGTTTCTCAATACAAGTCAGGACTAGTTGGTCTTTAGATTGCCAGAGTACTCCATAAAGACCACACCAAAAAGTCACCTCCACTTAAGACTAAACTGGGTCTAGAGATGGTGCATTCTGCAGTGAAAGAGTCCATTGCTTGCATTAGTGTGGTCTGTGTGTGGTGTAGCATCATTTTCAGAGTCCGGCAGAGTCCCAGTGTTACCATGGAGACTGCCAGGGGTGTGGCTCCAATTAGAAGTTCCCCCTAAGCACAGATCTAGGATCAGCTTACCGCCCCGAATCCTAACCTTACTGGCCTAAACCTAAAACTGACTTTAAATCAGTGTCTTGGGGCAACTTCACCCTACTCTGTCGGGGTCACTGGCGCTTCAGACAGTTGTGTGGCATGCACTCGGTCTGTTCCTCCAGCTCGGGACAGGGGGTTCCAGCGTTAGCCGGCCGCAGGAGGATGTAGCGGGTACGGTGGCGGATCCCTCCCCTGGAACAGGGCCCCAAACACAGACCCCAGGACGACCACATAGACACCTCACAGTCTAACGGTGTCTCTGAGAGAGGGAGGGAGAGGGAAAGAGATGTGGTGAATGAATAACACAGAAATACAGTGAATCGTGATGATCACAGAGAGAGAGGGAGAAAGAAAGAGAAAGAGAGGAAGAGATGGGGGGATGTGTGCATGTAAACCTACCTGAGAAGCGTTGAGGGTGGATAGGGTGAGGCAGAATGTGATTGGACATGGGAGTTTGACGGGCAGGTGAACGGCTCTGTCTGGTTAGCCGTATGGAGGCTATGGGCGGGAGCTCTGTGAGACGGGGGTAGAAGAAGGAGTTGGCTGGGTGGTTGGGCATCTGGGAAGTTATCTGGAGGGGGACAACAACATATAGAAAACGGTCAACAACAAACCCTAAGACACACACTAAAACACACACTAAAACACACACTAATCACAGATTATTACCGGTACTTCTTAATAATTCAAGGCTGTGTGCTTTAACTGTGACTTTATGTTAGTGGAAAAAGTTCAATTACACTTTCAAGTCTTCCATGTTAGGGGAATGTTCCACCACAGGGGGCTTTAAGAGGTATCCAGTTTCCCCTATATAGGCTACAATTGGCCTATTTAAAGCCTAGTCATTATAGAGCGAGGGGCAACCTCCGTGGCCCTCTTTCCCCCTCAGGTGAAGGTGAAAGGAGGGGAGAAGTCATCTGTCTCACCCGTGTGATGTTTTCCTGGGGGTACGGTGGGATAGTTGGGTGAAGAAAAAGTGAAGCCACTGTCCGTCCCTGCGTCTAAGGGTTGGAGGTCAAGGGTAATTTCCTGTTTCCACTGGCCGCCCTCGCAGAGGTTAAGACTGTCCACCCCCACGAACCAATCAGGGCTAGGGATCACCTTCACCATCAGAGAGAGCTGTGTCCATTGAGGAGGGAGGGAGAAGGAAGGGGAGGAAGAAAAGGAGGTGGAGAGAGGAAATTAGAGAGTTTAGTTACAGTACACTATTCAGATCATGTTTGTGTAATATTGGCTGTGCTAATAAGACAGGATTATAACTGAAGCTAACACACACATAGGTGGACAAAATCGGTCATTGGCTTTACAGGTCCTGGTTGTGTAATAGCCTGACGTGTGTGTCCGCCAGTTCCAGCACACCCCGCTGTTTCCTGTGTGGGGTTAAACTCTATGCTCCTCTACTCCCCTCTCTCCTCTGTGATGGATGTTTCCTGAAAGGCAGTGACCTCATGCAGGAAGCGTCCTGGGAACCGGCTCCGGGGTGGCAGGCGCCCAGAAAACAGCACATTAAAAACCAGGAAGAGAGCACAGCCTCCCTCGGGACAGGACGCCTGCTACTTGTGGATCTGGGCTGAGCTGGGACAGGATGGGTTAGGGTGGACAGGCTTGGATGGGGGAGGACGGGGTGGAATGGGGCAGACATCAAAGTGCATTAGGTGCATTAGGGTGGAGTGGTGTGGAGAGTTTGGCCTCTGGGAAGCAGCAGCAGCAAGTCAATGAGGATGACATCAGTTGTGTGTTTCTATCCTGTGACACACAGTGAGGGATGAGGAGTAAACAGAGAGACTAGAGAGACCACCGACTAGCCCAGGGGCATGTCTACTCTTCCATCCACTTCCAGAATCAATCCTTCATTGACCTCCTCCCTCCTTCGCTCCCTCCCTCCCTCCCTCCCTCCCTCTCATCTTTCTAAACCTTCTCTCAAACTGTGGTTTTTCCAGGAATCCCTCCTGCTATATCCATTTCATTGGCCTGTGCAGCGAGTGGGAAGGCGGTGTATCTATCTTAACACGTTCTGTCCACCGCGAGCGCAGCAGTTTGTACTTTAAGGACAGAGACACTCGTTGACACACACTGATACCCACTTATAGTCCCATAATCACAATCACACTCCATCCAGGCATGCTCTCCCCAGGGCCCACAGAGCCGTCCCAGGCCCAGAGAATGAAAAATCCCCAACCACAACCCGCCCAAATCTGGCAGTACCAGAAGCTTAAGGGAAATATGCATTACTGGTCGCACTAATCTGTAGAAATGCAGTGGTTTCCTAGTGCAGAGTAGACTCGATTGGTTCTGGTAGTTGGTGAATTGTTTGTTGTTATCTGTCTGGTTCCAATGATGTGCTTGACAGAAATAGAACAGGGTTTTATGTATATGGAGATGAGAATCATGTGAGGATGTTTGGAGCATTGCATAAGTGTTTGCTTTGTGGAAAAGAGGATGTGTGAGAGTGTGTGTGTGTGTGTGTGTGTGTGTGTGTGTGTGTGTGTGTGTGTGTGTGTGTGTGTGTGTGTGTGTGTGCGCGCGCACATAAGCATACGCCTACGTGTGTATCTCTTTGTGTATTTCCAGAGAAGGCCAATTTGATCCATCGTTGTCACGTTCCACACAAAGACACACACATCTCCATGCCCCCATTCTCCGTCATGCTACCCACTGATCTAAAAACAGATTAGCCAAGCCAGCACAAACACACACACCACATACCTCACATTTAGATCAGAGAATTCCAGACAAATGCCAGCCTTCAGTATGGGGCAGGCAGTACTGGAGAGAGATGCTTTTCATGGGGGTTGTTTGCGCAACGGGCTCCAGGTGCGGGCAGGCAGTGGAGTTACTAATAAACAAAATGTAGATCGCCATCTCCACTCTGAGCCCCTTATATTTCCAAATCCCCAGGAGCTACACTCCCTCCCTCTCTCTCCCCCTTTCTCCCCCTCTCTCCACTTCAGTCATCAACTAAGTGCGACGGCGAAGAAAAACAAACAGACGCAGGCCCCAGGCAGCCTAGAACCCACCTAGCCTGGCTAGCCTCACCCCCAAACCCAGCCCTAGCCTATTGTTCCAGCCTCACTCCCTGCCCAATCCCCAGCCCCAGCCCCAGCCCCAGCCCCAGCCCCAGCCCCTGCCCAATCCCCAGCCCCAGCCCCAGCCCTAATCCCCAGCCAAAGCCCCAGCCCTTGCCTATTGTTACTGCCTCACTCCCAGCTCCAGCCCCAGCACCAGCCCCATGAAGCCACCGCCCGGGCCCTGAGTTCAGCAGGGGAGACAGCAGACATAGTCCAGACCAGGCAGGACGGATGTGGGCGTTTGTGGCCGTAGGGCTGGATGCTAAACTTAGCCTGATTGGAGCACTGTAAAAGAGTGATGAAGTGTTTGGCCAGGGAGGGTGGAGTGAGTCAAGGGGTTTACCTGTGGTGGGACCGGGTCATGAGTTGACAATGGATTGAGTTAAGGAGTGTGTTTGTTGGTAAGGATTTGTGGTTGGAGCGGAGAGCAGAACGGATGGTGGAAAGGTCGTGAAGAGGTTTATGTAAAGCAATGAAGTGTGTGTGTGTGTTTGTGTGTGTGTGTGTGTGTGTGCATGCATCATGCGTGTCTGCGTGGGTGTGTGTGATGCCTACCAGTGGGCTCCGTGGTTGCAGCAGCAGTTCTGTGGAGCTGTGCCCTATGCCAGTGGGGATGCCTGCTGTTCTGTACATGGCACCGACCTCCCGTCTCTTCCTGGCATCCTTCGCCCCCTTCACCAGCTCCACAGTTACCCCCAGCTCAGCAAAGTTCTGCACCCCTATACTCGCCAGCGCCCCTTCCTGAAATAGCCGATGCTGCCCGTTGTGAGTGATAGCTGTTGGGAGAACACAGGGAGGCAGTGAGGTACTTTTCCAATGCTCTGAAAATTCATATTTTCTTCCTTTCACCTTGCCTTGATGCCATCACTCTAATCTAGAATCAGTTAATCTCACTGCATTCATGATCTCTTTACACATACAAATTCATTTTCATTTCTTTTTTTTTTGTCTCTGTTTTTTCACTCCCCACACCGTTTACCTCCTTCCCTCCTTTTTCTGATGTCTCACATTCCCACTGTTCTCTTTACTAGGGATTGTTGCCTTTGTTCTTGCTTTGTCCTTATTAAGAACTGATTCTGAGTCAGATCTCTGTTCTTTGTCCTGTCATTCCCCATTATAAGCCACACAACACATGGCCCGGGATCAGTGGTTATAAGGCTAGCAGAGGGTCAGTCAGATGAACTAACGACCACACAGTCTCAGTCTCTTTTATAACATCTCTGCATTACCTCACCTCAGGATCCATGCAAACACATACACACACAGGCACGTGCATACACACGCACACTCCCGACGCACCCAAAAAACACACTTCACACACTATCCTGTTTCTCCTCAACCGCCGTCACTTATGCACTTAATTGAATTTCCATACTAGCAGGTTTCCCACAAGCGTCAAGTCCCTGAAACCCAATAATACAGATTCAGATTCAGATTCACGTAACGTTTCAATTTCTTCCCGCAAATTAACGACCCCCCTCCTCAACTCCCAGACCCGAAATGGGTCATGTTTTTCTTCTTCAGTGACTAATAACTCTCTTATATAACTGTCTTCCCTGGGCTCCATGTCCCTGGCCCACTCCAGTCTGTCATCAGAGGCGTGTCCATGTCCCCAGGGCCTATGTGCAATGTTACTGTCTCTATATGCAGCAACAGGCCATCACCCACTGGCAGGCTGACAGGGCATGGCAGGGAGTTCTGGAAGCCAGACAAACCCACGGCGGCCACAGACAATGATGCAGAGAGCAAGTCTGGCACACGCACACATATGCCATCCATCCATGCTGGCGAGGCAGGGCAGAGCCAAGTAGAGCCTGATGCCCTTTTCCCCCCTTAGTGAGGTAAGTAATCTGACCCCACCACACTCTAAAAACCATCATAGCCCCTATTTGCCTCCAGGACCCCAGCAGCCCCAAAAGTGAGAGAATGAAGAGGGTGAGGGCGAGGGAGAGGGAGAGTGAGATAGAGTGAAGGAGAGAGAGTAAGTAAGAGAGAGAACCTGTGGGGTACCCGCCCTGTATCATCTGGTAGCGTTTAGCCTGACTGCCTCTCTCTCTCTCTCTCCCCCTGTGTGTGTGGAGGTGGACTGGGACCGCAGGGCCGGGCCATGGGGGGAAGGGGAGGCCCGGAGCAGGTTAACTGGCCAGCTGTGAGCCCTCAAACCTCCAACACATGATCAGGTGAAGAAAGGAGCAGGCCGAGCCAATATCCCTGCCAGGCCTACTATCCCTGATCTGCTCCCTGACCGCAGGGGGGAGAGGATGAGGGAGGAAATCAGCAGGAGACGGGAGGTGACCACAAATGGAGACATGCCACTCTCAAGGCTGCTGAGTACAAGGCAGCCTTTGTATTTTACCTGGTCTGTCAACTCACCACAAGAGTTCCTTGAGTATCTCTCTCTCCCCATATCTCTCTGTCAAATGGTTTTCCCCAGAGAGTATGCAGAATTGTGGGTGGGATTTCTCGCTCTCAGCTCTCTCTAGAGAAGATGCATGAGAGGAGGAATCCTCATTCTATCTATCTCTCTTCTCGCTCATCTATGCACTCTCTCTCTCGATCTCATCTCTATCTTCTCTCCTCTCTCTCTCTCTCTCTCTCTCTCTCTCTCTCTTCTCTCTCTCTCGCTCTCTCTCTTTCTATCGATCAATGTCTGTGTCTCTGTTGTTTAAAATAGCCTCGCTCCTTCCCCCTTTCCCCTGTGAGCCGTGACCTGAAAGGGCTTTATGGGTGAAAAGTGATGAGTGTCCTTTCCTTTCACCAACCAGTTGTCATGAGGGGAAAAAGGCAAAGAGAGGAGGCCATTATAGGTCATTGAGACACAACCAATATGATTAGGAATACTATAAGTAATTTACACTGTATCTGTATTCCCTTCCACTTCTTTCTGATCATCAAGGGGGTATCATGAAGTGTCTAGAGGTAGTGGTTAGGGCCTGATTTTGGACTGAGCTGGTGGTTCATCTCACCTATGAGTTTGGACCACTGTGCAGGGGGTCGGAACAGCGGGTACTGTTTAGGGAACGTCTGGGGGCTCCAGTGACCCGTAAATACCAGGATGTAGGAGGCAGGACCTCTGGCCGTACACTCTGTCCCATTGGTCGGTCCGGCAAAGGATAGGGTGAGCTTCAGAAGCACCACCAGCAGCTGCTGCAGCCAACCGCAGGACAGGAGCTTCGATGACATCATCTAAACTGGACACAGAGAGAAGAGAAGAAGTGTCAATTAAAAGTGTTCTCAACACGGAGTAGGATGGAGTTTCATCAAGACGCTGACCCTAAGAGTCCAGGTCAGGATGTTGGGCAGTTAGGTAAACTGATTCTAGTTTCCCTTGTACTCTACGTTATACTGTACCATCCCAGTATGTCGGTCAGGGCAGGGGCAGTCAGAGGGCAGGGTAGAGGGTAGAGGCCATCGAACTGTTAGCATTCATCACTGTCACTGTAATGTCTGGATAAGACCCTGGTCCAAAATAAACATGGCCAATATTCTAAGGATAGACAGAAAGCCTGCTGAGTGCTGACTGACCTCACTGACTGACCATCCTCAAAACATCCCTGACCCTGACCTGACCACTGCTGAGTCGGACTGAATGTGCTAATGGGAGAGTGGACCATCCATACCGTATATGCACATGTTGGTTGTCTATAAAGACATCTGTGTATCTGCAGGTGTACATGCATGTGAGTGTACTGTCTGTTTATGCATGTGCATATATGTGTGGGAGTGTGTGTGTGTGTGTGTTTGAAGTGTGTGTGTGCCCCAGTTCCCTGTACTCAGCCTCAGGGCTTAAGGGGGATTTACAATGCTCCCGGAGATGAGTGTAAATCAGCTGTACTGCCAGAGCCACGCTGCCTGTTCTGTGTCCCACTCCCCCCAGTCCCCTGCCCTCACCCCTACCTAACCCCTCCTCCCCCCTACCTAACCCCTCCTCACCCCTAGCCCCTATCCTGATTTACCGCCCTGTTTATGAGGCTGGTAGAATTAAAATTACAGAACAACAGCCTGGCAAGACTATTTTCGGTGTGCCTGTGTGCGTTGCATATGCGTTCTGTCCCCACTAAGGTGTGTGTGTGTGCAGACAACATGGTTTCCGCTCTGTACAGGGAGGGAATAGACTATGACTGCATTGGCGCTTCCTTCTCTCTGTCATAGTCTGAACATTGAACGTCCTGGACCAAAAAGGGACTAAGAGGGGATAGTGGTTTCGCAGCTTATTCTCAGACTGCCCTCAGAGTGTGCGGGTGTGTGTGGAGGTGTGGGTGTGTCGCCAGTGTGACCAGTCCCTTCTCCCTGCAATATTGGTACAGCATTACTGCAGCCGCTGAGATGATCAGATGACAGAGCTGTGAGATCAAAGCAGGTTCCTCTCTGCCTCCATACTCATGGTATTTTTACCATGCCTGTTAAACTTTGCGGTTGTTAATATAAGTTTAGAGGGGAAAGCGAATGGGTAACATGCACACTGACACATACAGCTGCAGACAGTGAACTATCGCTGCAGCCTACTCATGATATGCCATCAGTGATGTAGTGGTAAAACAAAAATAGGTGGGTAAACTGTGATCGCCGATCGTGGTTAAAAAAGCAATGCTCCCTTTACTTTAAATGCAATTTTCTGCAAAAGGTGGGTAACTGTCAAGCAAAAGAAAGTGAGTAAACTAGGTTTACTTGCGTTTACGCTCCACTATACGCCATGAGAAAAAACTTTGAGTAGAGTTTTGGAGCAGCCTATATTAGAGGGGTAACAGTATCCGCAACTGAAAATAGGCTTCAGGGACAATGTGTTGTGTGATGGGTGTGTGTGTGTGTGTGTGTGTGTGTGTGTGTGTGTGTGTGTGTGTGTGTGTGTGTGTGTGTGTGTGTGTGTGTGTGTGTGTGTGTGTGGTGTGCGTGTGTGTGTGTGTGTGGTGTGCGTGTGCAGTTCGACTGGCCATGATGGCTCATTTTAACTGTCTGCATTCCGTGCCTGCCGGCTGCATCGGGGCACAGATACTGTATGTTAACCTATAGAAACATCATATACCACGCAACAACCTCTCAACATCACTTACCGCTTTCCCTCTACAATCTAGATAGACAGTGGCAATGGAAAGCTGTTTGGTGCAAATCTCTTGACAATCTTCGGCTGCGTTTACACAGGCAGCACAATTCTGGTATTTTTTTCCACTAATTGGTCTTTTGACCAATCAGATCAGCTCTGAAAAAGAGTTGACTTGAAAAGATCTGAGGTGATTGGTCAAAAGACCAATTAGTGGAAAGAATATGAGAATTGGGCTGCCTGTGTAAACGTATCTAGTATGTCAAGGTTAGACATATAAGGGCTGGAAGTGCGTCAGGGCAGTGGGGTACAGTCAGGACACAACGGAGAGGATGAACAATACTACTGACTGACACAACGAGATTAACACACCACTGACCACTCACTGTCATTCTCCATCAGTTACATAGACACAGAGAAACACAGGCACAACATATTGTAGGCACATTCATTCTCATCAGCATAGAGACAGCACAGGCTGGAAACACACAGCACATTAATTATCATCAGTCGACACAGACATAGTCCAGACACAGCCTCATACATAGACACATGTTAGGATTCATCAGTCGACACACTAGTAGACTTAGACACAGCAGTTTTTCCGGGTTTCTCTGGGGCACGAGACACAATAAAATAAGGGGATGTGGAGTGATGCCAAACAGAGTGCCTGTGGACCTACACTGTGTAATTACACCAACCTCATACAGTGCAGGACTCACACACACACACACACACACACACACACACACACACACACACACACACACACACACACACACACACGCACACACACACACACACACACGCACGCACGCACACGCACGCACACGCACGCACACGCACACACGCACACACACACACACACGCACATGCACGCACACGCACACACGCACACACACACATGCACACACACGCACACACACACACACACACACAAACTACCATATACATTAACACAAACACACACATGCACACACACACACATTAACACACACACACGCACCGTGAAAGGAGGGCAGATTATTCCTCTCTTCCAAATGCAAGCTGAAGACAAACCACAGTGATGACAGTGTAGACAGGAGTCGAGAGAAGGAGAGAAAAATGCAGATGAATGCAGGCTGGGTTTGAGAGAGGAGTATATAGCTGAAGCATTCACCAGAGACCCGGCATTGTTGTTTTATGATAAACCTCAGCAGAAAGAGAAAGAGAAGAGAGGGAGAGAGAGAGACAGAGAGAGACAGAGAGAGAGAGGAGGGAGAGAGGAGGGAGAGAAGAGAGAGAGAGAGAGGGAGGAGAGAGGGAGGAGGAGAGATGGAGAGAGAGAGAGAGAGAGAGAGAAGAGAAGAAGAGAGAGAGAGAGAGGAGAGAGAGAGAGAGAGAGAAAAGAGAGGCAGACAGCACAGGAACATACACACAAACACATACCAACTCACACATAATGTAAAAACAAACGTACACACTTAGGATGCACAAATAGAGATGTACAGTAGGGACCGGTGTATACACATACACATATACCAAACCCAGATCTGGGTTGAAATACTATTTCAAATATTTCAATTACTTTCACATACATTCAAAGTAAGTATTCAGATATATTTTATTTGAAAAGACAAGTAGTTTAATATTTTAATGTATTTGGAAATACACTTAGAAAGTATTTGAAAAATTCTAATACACTGACTCAAATACACTCCCCTACATTTAACCCATGTATTTGAACATACTGTCAAATACATTTTAGTCATTTAGCAGACACTCTTATCCAGAGCAACTTACAGTTAGTGAGTGCATAAAAAAAAATTCATACTGGCCCCCCGTGGGAATCGAACCCACAACCCTGCCGTTGCAAGCGCCATGCTCTACCAACTGAGCTATACGGGACATACAATTTGGCAGACTATTTGGTTTTCACAAATAACTATTAACATACTCAAATAAAAGTACTTGTTTTGGGCTGTGTATTTGAGAATACTTAGTTACACAGAAAAAGTATTTTAATATCAAATACTCAAATATACATTTATTTGAACCCAGGTCTGACAGAACCACACACTCATGCACATTAATACTCATGCACGTACTCAGATTGTCTGAATTGAGCCGTCAGGGCTGCATATTGAGTTTCTTACCTGGGAAGGACGACTAAGTCAATGACAGAGGATATATCAGCAGGACAGAAAGACAGCAGGGCAGCAAGGAATACTCAGCTCGTCACTCGCTCTCTCTCTCTCTTCTCTCTCTACTGCCACAGTCCGTCTGGTTGCAGGATCAGGGAGCCTTATCACAGTCTTTCTTCCTCACTCTCCTCTATCTCTCTCCAAATCTCCCTTTCTCCCACCCTCCTCCCTCATTGTATCCCCTTCTATTCCTCCCCTCTCTCTCTCTCTCTGGCTTTCTTTCTCCCTCCCCTGCTTTTCTCCCCCTACCTCGCCTTGTATGGGAAGGCAGTGCACAGCGCCCCCCTTCTCCTCTACAGTATCTCTCTCTCTTTCTTCTGCCCTTTCTTTCATTCTCTCTGTGTGTGTACACACTCAACTTCTCCCACTGTCTCTGTGTTGCTGTGTAAACTCAGTAACCCCTAACCTCATATTGCTGACAAGGTAATCAACACCATGTTACCCACAACTTAATAGATCTTACTTGGCAGTCAGTGCATTCCTATTGTACAGTATTTACTTTTTCCCTTAACTATTTTAATTATTACATTTGGAGCGGAGAAATCCCAAAAGTCTGGTTGTTTGATAATGACAGATCAGCAGTCTGGCTATGGAAAAGGGAAGTGCTTCCATCTAATAATAAATAGAGCATGGCTGAGCCTTGGTGGTCAATCCAGCTAATGATTCCACTGGAGAAACTTCCTCTGGTCAGTGAAGTGAAGGAGAGAGGGTGTGTTAAAGCCCTGTCTGTCTGTGTCTTGACATAACTATTCCCCCACTGCCACAGCTGGCAAACACATGGGCAACATAGGAGGTGCTCCATTACGGAGCTGGCTATTGATCCACGTGTTGGGGCTCAGTGTGAATGAGTGTATGTGTGTATGTGTGTGTGTGTGTGTGTTTGGTTTTACTGTCCTTGTTGGGACCAGAAGTCCTCACAAGGATAGTAAAACAACAAAAATTCTGACAAGTGGTGACATTTCGCAAGTCCCCACAAGGAAAAAGGCTATTTTAGGCTTAGGGGTTAGGTTTAGGGTTAGAATTAGGGTTAGGGTTAAAATTAGGGTACGCACACACACACAAGCACACATTCTTAAAAGCATCTCTGAACTATCATGTAATCTCTAAATATTTAAGCCTTGGGCTATCCTCCTCTCAAAGCAGACCATGGAATATATTTAAGATCCTCCATCCTCCAGACCTTAGATGTGGGCTACCACAAAGACCAGGGTCTCAGACTAGGCTTAATCCAAAGCTAAGGACGTTCCTTCCCTTAAGCTGTGCTGTGAAGAAATGACAAGAAGAATGAGGTAGCATGGAGAAGCAGCCTGGGTTACGGGGCCACTATGGCCTCACCATGAACCCTCTAGGAACATTTCGGGCAATTCAGATTGTTGGTAGAGGACTTCTTCACAGACAAATGTGCTTGTTTTTTGTGTTTTTGTAGATATATTTTGGGGGTGTGCTCCTGCCTTGATTGTAGTATCTGTGTCTCTAACTTTTATTGTGTAATTTGCTGCTGATCTTGTCATGCAGAGCTCACTTGAAAAAGAGACCTTGGTCTCAATGGGACTTCCCTGCCTAAATAAAGGTTCACTAAAATAAATAAATAACCAACTGGAAGGGAAAAAAGGAGAAGGAAGAAGAAATAATTCCTTTGTTCCAGAAGCTTCTAGACCCGTATCTTCCTTAACTCCTTGTTTATCTCCCTCTCTATCTCCATTTCTGCTCCCTTCACTCCTTCCCTATCTCTCGCTTTATCCCCTCTTTCCACCCTTCACTCTCTAGCCATCTCTCCCCCGGTCTCGGTCTCGCAACGTTCCCATTAAATGTGTCTAGAACATTCATATCTTATATTCTGAGAACATGGCAACCATGTTCTTTCTGTGTATGTTTGGTGTGAGGTTGATTTAATATTCTGCTAAACCTCAGAAAACTGTACACAGGAATATTCTTGCAATGTTCCCATGAAACATGTCTATAACATTAATATTGGTTATTCTGAGAACATGGTAACCAAGTTCTGTTTGGCATTAAGGGAATGTTCTCGTAACACTTACGCCAAAACATGCTAAATAGTTATCAGGAGCTTTTTGTTAACATACAGAGAATGTTCCTCTAACTAATGTAAAACTGGACACTCAAGCATCAGGGGAACATTAAGGGTAACATTACAAAAACATTCTCTCTCCCTAGAATTGTTTGCTGGGTTCTGTTTGACAAGAAATGTTCTCTTGGAATCAGTTCTTGCATCTCACTGGAACCTTCCTATGAAAACATAAGGTAATTACCTAATGAGACTCTTAACCCCTAGGGCAGTGGTATTCAAAGTCGGGGTTGCACTGCAGTGGGGTCGCAAAAATACAAAATAAGAATAAATACTTTTTTATATACAGTACCACCTACTCATTCCAGGGTTTTTCTTTATTTTAACTATTTTCTACATTGTAGTAGAGCACTTGTTGGCTGCTTTTCCTTCACTCTGCCGTCCGACTCATTCCAAACCAGCACTCCATCACTCTCCTTCTTAGTAAAATAGCCCTTACACAGCCTGGAGGTGTGTTGGGTCATTGTCCTGTTGAAAAACAAATGATAGTCCCACTAAGCCCAAACCAAATGGGATGGCGTATCGCTTCAGAATGCTGGGGTAGCCATGCTGGTTAAGTGTACCTTGAATTCTAAATAAATTACAGACAGTATCACCAGCAAAGCACCCCCACACCATCACACCTCCTCCTCTATGCTTTACGGTGGGAAATACACATGTGGAGATCATCCGTTCACCCACACCGCGTCTCACAAAGACACGGCAGTTGGAACCAAAAATCTCCAATTTGAACTCCAGACCAAAGGATACATTTCCACCGGTCTAATGTCCATTGCTCGTGTTTCTTGGCCCAAGCAAGTCTCTTCTTATTATTGATGGCCTTTAGTAGTGGTTTCTTTGCAGCAATTCGACCATGAAGGCCTGATTCACACAGTCTCCTCTGAACAGTTGATGTTGAGAGGCTGGTAACTCTAATTAACTTATCCTCTGCAGCAGAGGTAACTCTGGGTCTTCTATTTCTGTGGCGGTCCTCATGAGAGCCAGTTTCATCATAGCACTTGATGGTTTTTGCGACTGCACTTGAAGAAACTTTCAAAGTTCTTGACATTTCCGTATTGACTGACCTTCATGTCTTAAAGTAATGATGGCCTGTCGTTTCTCTTTGCTTATTTGAGTTGTTCTTGCCATAATATGGACTTGGTCTTCTACCAAATAGGGATATCTTCTGTATACCCCCCCTACCTTGTCACAACACAACTGATTGGCTCAAACGCATTAAGAAGGAAAGAAATTCCACAAATTAACTTTTAAGAAGTCACACCTGTTAATTGAAATGCATTCCAGGTGACTACCTCATGAAGCTGGTTGAGAGAATGCCAAGAGTGTGCAAAGCTGTCATCAAGGGCTCCCGAGTGGCGCAGCGGTCTAAGGCACTGCATCTCAGTGCTTGAGGCGTCACTACAGACTCCCTGGTTTGATTCCAGGCTGTATCACAACCGGCCGTGATTGGGAGTCCCATAGGGTGGCACATAATTGGCGTCGCCCGGATTTGGCCGGTGTAGGCTGTCATTGTAAATAAGAATTTGTTCTTAACTGACTTACCTAGTTAAATAAAGGCGAAGGGTGGCTCTTTGAAGAATCTCAAATATATTTTGATTTGTTTAACACTTTTTTGGTTTCTTAATGATTCCTTATGTGTTATTTCATGGTTTTGATGTCTTCACTATTATTCTACAATGTAAAAAATATATTGAACAAAAATATAAATGCAACATAAAACAATGTCAACGATTTTACTGAGTTACAGTTCATGTAAGGAAATCAGTAAATTACAATTAATTCATTAGGCCCTAATCTATGGATTTCACATGACTGGGCAGGGGCGCAGCCATCGATGGGCCCCACCCATTGGGGAGCCAGGCCCAGCAAATCAGAATGAGTTTTTCCCCACAAAAGGCCTTTATTACAGACAGAAATACTCTTCAGTTTCATCAGCTGTCCGGGTGGCTGGTCTCAGACAATCCCGCAGGTGAAGAAGCCGCATGTGGAGGTCCTGGGCTGGCGTGGTTGGAGGTACTGCCAGATTCTCTAAAATGACATTGGAGGCGGCTTATGGTGAACATGAAATTATCTGCTAACAGCTCTGGTGGACATTCCTCCTACAGTCAGCATGCCAATTGCACGCGCCCTCAAAACGTGAGACATCTGTGGCATTGTGTTGTGTGACAAAACTGCACATTTTAGAGTGGCCTTTTATTGTCCCCAGCACAAGGTGCACCTGTGTAATGACCATGCTGTTTAATCAGCTTCTTGATATGCCACACCTGTCAGGTGGATGGATTATCTTGGCGGAGAAATGCTCACTAACAGGGATGTAAACAAATTTGTGCAAAACATTTGAGAGAAAGAAGCTTTTTGTGCATATGGAACATTTCTGGGATCTTTTATTTCAGCTCATGAAACATGGGACCAACACTTTACATGTTGCGTTTCTATTTTTGTTCAGTATATATTTAATTTTTTATTAACAGTATAGATTATTGTATGGGACAATATACAAACGTTTTTGAAAAATATAAATGTTGTTAAAGATTTGGGGGAGTAAATGTATTTATTGGTTTCTTTTCGATAAGAGATGGAAACGTAATGAAGTGAAGGGTTTTGTTGATGTAAAAAAATGTATGTACCAATTTCAAGTTTGTGTCATTCGATTTTGGGTGGGGTGGGGTCGCGAGACGTTCTTAAGAAAAAATGGGATCTCCAGAAATTCTGGCAGAAAAAATGGGGTTCCCGCTGAAAAGGTTTGAATAACACTGGGGGCCCGGGGCTGGGTTTTCTACTAAGCTAACATATGGAATTGTTTTAAGATGGTCATACCAAGGATCATTTAGCTATTTGATTAGGAATATTATGACCCCTGTAGGTATAAAAATATATACAGTTGAAGTCGGAAGTTTACATACACTTAGGTTGGAGTCATTCAAACTCATTTTTCAACCACTCCACAAATTTCTTGTTAACAAACTATAGTTTG